TTTCAGTTTTATCTGGATTAAGTACTAGTCTTAAAGACAGGAGTTGGGCTTCTATTTCTTTAAAAGTAGCTTGCAAGCGATCAACAGCCTTTAACACAGTCTCTCCAAAACAATAAATAATAGTATCGTCAGCATAAAAATGGGCATTTGCATTTTGGACATATTTCCCCAAATCATTAATATAAATAGTAAACAACAAGGGACCTAATATAGAGCGGCCCTCAGCTCATCGCTTGCTTTGTGTAAAAACTATGTTGTATCGTGTCTCATTCAGCGGTAAGTAAACACAAAACTTCATCATAATACATGTTTTTAAAAAACGTGACTATTTTACTACTCACAACGGCCAACGACAAACTCACAGTAAAGTCTCTGTCATCAGTGACATTCATTGAGTGTGGGCTAGTGTACGCAAGAGGTAGAGAATGAGCAGGGAGGCATGATTTGTTCATCAAATTGGTACCTCGTGGCAGACATTGCTCAAAGTGTTTACATGCTTACAACTGCTACAGATGACAGATTTTCTTTGTTCCTTTGTTTCAGAGCACATGAATTATTCATTTCTGTCATGACCTAAAGACAATTTCAACCCAAATCTTAAAAAGTGCATCTGTGGTAAATTACCAACCCTGCCTTTAAAGTAATTGAATTTCTTGGCCCACCCTTTTACAATAATTGAAACCCTTTTACAACTATTTAAACCATCAACATGGGGATCACAAAACTGAAGTGGGGCACTCTCAAAAATATTTCAAGGGATTTTTCACGATCTGGAGATGTCTGACCAAAATACAGCAGGTCAAAGACGTGGCAGAGCAAAGTGTGGCTCAAAAGAAAGATGGACAATAAAATAATATCAATTCAGCCCAAACCTTAACGCACACATCGGTACGACATATCCAGTTCTTGGTTTTCTTAAATGTGTTTTACTTCTACCCTCCTACTACTGGTTGTTTTGGTGTGCAGTGCACTGTATCATCTAGGGAGATTGTGGATCCATAGGAACCTGAAGCTGTGCTGCTCAGTATGGTGAGGGGGGGAAGTGTAGGGGGGCTTCTCCTGAAGTTCTGACCGCACCAGAGTGCCAGCTGTTCCACCTCCTGTCTGTAAACAGACTCATCAACGTCCAGGATGAAAGCGATGACAGTGGTGTCGTCTGTAAACATCAGGAGTTCCAATGAAGGGTCCCTTGAGGTGCAGTCGTTCCTGTGAATGGAGAAGAGCAGTGGGGGTGTGGAATCAGATTTATTTTGAATCTTGAGAGACCACATAAATATACCAAAAAGTGTGTCAACTGCTGCACGGGCAGCTGCGAAGGTGAAAAAAAATATAGATGAGGGCAAGGAATGTCACTGTCTTCTTTGGGAGTGCAGGATTGCAGGTGCTCTCTCCCTCGATCTCTCTCTCTCTTACTTCTTATTTGAGGTGAGGTGAGGCTCACTTTAGAGCAAGTTCTTCTCACACGGAGCAAAGAGTTTTGACAATTTGAGGGTGGAGACCAAGGATGGCTCTGCCCCTCTTATGATCAAACCCACATGATTGAACTCATTAAATTTTGCTTGACAGGTTTGGTAAGATGAAGCTCACTGTTGGGCTCAGTGCAACAGTTTATGTAGCTTTCAGTAATTGTACATGTTTTATCCTCATTAATTTAATGAAGAGAGAGACAGAGAGAGACAAGGCAGAGTATTTATTGTTCAAACGGGAAAGTGATTATGTTTTATGTCCAGAGAGTAATGTTCAAGTTTCAGTAGCCAATAGCTGTGAGGTTTGGAGCCAGTCCCACATGGACGAGAGAGCTTTCACAGCCTGGCCCACTGTGCTTTAACCATCCCTGCTGTCAGAGTCCAGGTTGAACTCTTTGTAAATCTCTTGTTTACAATTTCACAAGATTAATCTCCCTGGCGTATAAAGTCCAACGCCCCTGCCAGGCAACAGTACCAGTAATTGGGTGCAAATAAAAACGATTCAATTCTTCTTTCTGGTTGTATCAGTGTGAGAAATGATCTAAAGGTCGTAGTTAATAGATGTCCTTATTGTTCTTTAGACTGAGTAAAAGAAACATTTTCCAAATGATTGATGAAAGCCAAAGGTCAAAAGGTCAAAAGGTCAAAAGGCCAAAGGTCAACTGTGAAATTTGAAACAGTCCTGTTTCAAATTTCAGTGCAAAACTGCAGTGAGGGGTCCTTCATCTTTTTCTTGTAGTCTTCATCAAACTCTTCATTCTGGGCCACAGTGAAGTGGTTCTTCCAGTCACCAACCTTTTCTGCAGATCAACAGAGGAATTGTCTAATACTTTATAGCTCAAAATGTGACTCTGTTTAATGTCTCATGTTTTTCATATTATGACTGACTGTACCTTTTCTCATGAACTGTGAAATTTTGAAGTGCATTGTGCGAATCGATGAATAGTTGACCGCTTTGAAGGTTTTCATTTCTTCAAAATGTTATTATTCTTTCCTTTTCTTCAACCGAATGAGACAAACCAAGAAAGTGGCAGAGTTTGTCGATTTCCAGTCCAGTATCCTGTGAGCATTTGGTAAAATCAACACTTTCACACAATTTCAACCAATGCAATTTATACAATAAAAAAAAAAAAACATTAAGATTACCTCAATCAGATCCTCATAGAACATGTAATGGATTTGTGAATGAGTTTGCTTCTTCTTCCACCAGCCGGTGACATGGTCACCAGGATCCAAACAGCACTAAGATCACAGAAAGGAAACATGGACTTTGGACTTCAGTGAATCTTTGTACCACTGAAAACAACTTGTATATATGAGGAGCACATACTATTTCCCTCTGTGAACCTCTGGAAGTAGCTGTTCCAGTCTCCAGGCTCTGGTTCCAATACAGTCATGCGCTCATAGTGGTAATAAGACACCCGCTGTCTTTGGCATTGCGACTTATATAAATGATCTACTTTGTGGGAAAAAATAAAATTATCGAGAAGCTTAATTTTTTTCTCAATAACTTTATTGAGTTAAAAAGGTTTCATGATAATTCATACACTTGTAACATTTTTGTTATTAATTAAAAGGAGCGATTTGAGTAGGAAATGTAATTCTAGAAGAAAATAGGAAAGTTTAGGAGGCGATCCAGAGAATTTCTAGAAAAGGGGTAAAAAAACCTTCATTAATGGTCAGTTGATGACATAACAGACTTAAGCAGCTTGGTCTGGGAACACAGCAGTCTATTAAAAAGGTTTACAAATGTAAATATACAATATGACTGAAAATTCTCATCGATGTTAGCCTCAAGGTTGTAATAGTTTGACTCACCTTGCAGTTTTGCTCCAAAAAGGACTTTGGCAGAAACTGGATTGGAAGATGTTTACCATGTCTGTTCCTTTAAAAAGGGTAGGAGATAGACCTGTTCCTGTAAATAATTCAAGCAGTTTTGTTAATTACATGTGTTATGGCTGTGTGTTTCCCTGTGTCCCTTCTCCCTTTCTGTTGTCTCCAGCCCAGGTGAAGCTACAAATTGCACAATGAGGTACACCTGGCCTCAGAGCTTAAAAGGCCAGTGCTGGCTGCAGAAAAAGAGGCATTTTGAGGAGGCATTTGGAGTTGGGACTGCTGTCATTGCAAGTTGAAGTACATGTAGATGGTTAAAATAAAAAAAATGGCAGGAACAAAAGATGTCTAAAAATCTGTCAAAGTGACTACTGGTAACTTCAGAAACAGGAAGCCAAAAATTTTTTTTTTTGATCAACTAATCATCATTACCTCATAAGTTTCAAGGATAGCAGATTTTCTAAAAACAAACATTTAAAAAAATCTAACTATGTTCCTTCTGCAAATATTTACCTTTAACTGAGCCTTCTCCCTACTCACCTTGATGAGTAGTTTTTTTTGCAAAACAGCTATTTGTCTGTAGTATTTGTCCACAGTAAAGAAGTCAGTTTTGATTTGAAACACTCACTGTGACATCCTGCACAACTTCTTCAAATGGTGAAAGGAAAAAGATGTGACTTCATCAGGTTTGAGTGTGATTGGTCAAACATTAAACCAACACTTCCAGAGATACAGTATGACTATGTATGTATGTATAAATCTTTCAGTTGATATTTTAATCAGTTTGATTTTTAACTCGGACAAAATACAACAGTTAAGTAAACATAGATCTTCCAGAGTTGTTGGCTTGGTTTTAAGACAAAAGAAGGAAACTCATGCATGAACCTCACAAAGTCCCCAAAACACTAAGAGTGGCTGCTTGTGACAGAATTCTAAGAACATTCTTCTTAGAATCATTTTCTAAGCATTTGCCCTTAAAGTTAATACTTGGTCATGGTAAAGATAAAAGTTATTCACAAAGCTTCTTAACCCTTAAGAGAGCTCCTAAGGTGGGAAACTGTTAAGGAGTAATGAGTTAAGAGTTTCTCAAGCAGATGGGAAAACACTAACTGAAACATTTTTTCAGAAGCTGTGATTGGTTAATCTAAAAATAAATTACATAGATACATAGAATGTAGCCAGACATTGTGTAATTATAAACATTATGAAATTAACATCTGAGTGATATAAGACATACTTTTAAAGAACACCTTCTGTATCAGCCTTAAGAGCCTTAATTAGTGATTGGATGCACCTTCCCTCCCCTCTGAAACCTCCCTCCCAGACCAGCTCAACTCAGAGCAACAAAGCAGCGGGGCCAGATGAAGGCATTTCAATTAGCAGAGACTTTATTCAAAATGAACAATTATTTATTTAACAATTTAGGAAATACATGTGCAGTCTTTCCTAAATTGAAAGTCTTTGGACTTTTCAGACTCCATCATGACGACTTCATATATATATATATATATATATATATTATATATATAATAATCTTTGTAATATAGCAATAAGTAAGGTATTTTACATGCTTTTTGTAAAGTGTCTTGAGATAACACTTGTTATGAGTTGACGCTATACAAAATAAATTGAATTGAATTGAATTGAATATACTCTGACAGCAGGATAGGATACCCTCCTATGTATCTATTTCATTCATTATTTGAGAGTTTCAGTACAAATGGAACAATCATACAGCCTGCCTCTAATGACACACAAACAGTCAGATTATCAGATATTTGGCTAACATGGTTAACATTAGACTTTTATTAAAAAGATAAAACTCTGCCCCTCTGCTTTCACATGTGTGGTAACTATCACTTCTTTTCTTTCTTTTTTTTACAGAAATGCCATCCGCCCATCAGTCAAAAGCAATGCTCGCAGCCTGTTCAGCCCTGTTTCAAATTTCTGTGCGGAACTGCAGTGAGGGGTCCTTCATCTTTCTCTTGTAGTCTTCATCAAACTCTTCGTTCTGGGCCACAGTGAAATGGTTCTTCCAGTCACCAACTTTTCCTGCAGCACAACAGAGAATCTGTCAGGGTTTTTTTTTTTTTTTTTAAGCTCTAGGGCCGTATTCACAAAGCCTCCTGAGTGCTAGTCATTCCTGGTGACAAAATTGTTAGAATCATGACACTTTCTATGAATTATCCCTCAAATTTAAGACTAGATCCTTGTAAAGATAAAAGTTATTCACAAAGTGTCTTAAGAGAGCTCCTAAGGTGTAAAAACGTTAGGAGTAGTTAGGAGCACTTTTAACAGGCAGGACTTTTTAGCAGTTTCTGAAGCAACCAATCACAGCTTCTGAAAAAAAATATGTCATACCTAGCAACGGGGTCAACCAAGCCTCCTCACTAAGATAAAAGTTTCTGTCTCTCCCTTGCTCAGAGTTGCTCTGAGAATGTTCCTAAATCACTCCTAGGCTATAAGTCCTTGCTAGGATTTTTTTAAGCGAGGAGCTCTCCGAGAGGATTCTCAGAATGTTTGTGAATACGGGCCCTCTTTTGTGTCATGTAACCCACATGTGGTTATTTATTTATGAAGTTACCTTTTCTCATGAAAGGAGAGATTTTAAAATCCATTACAGGGAGCGTAGAGTAGTTGGCCATGCTGTTCTTTTTCATGTTATCAAACTGAACACTTCCTGCGACTCTTTGCACCTCCTCCGCTGAGGGAGACATACCCAGAAAGTTGCAGAGTTTGTCTATTTCCCGTCCAGTATCCTGCGGGAGGAAATGATCAGATTATGGTCACAGTATTTTACACACTCATGGGGAGCTTTAGAAAAAAAACAGCCTGAAGAAAAAAAAAATGAATAACCTCAATCAGGTCCTCGTAGAACATGTAATGGAGGTTTGAATAAGACTGCTTCTTCTCCCACCAGCCGCTCACATGGTCATACCAGGATCCAAACACAGCTAAGACCACAGAACAGTACATTAAGGCACCAAAGTAATCCAAAGTCATCTCTGTTCTATGAAAACATTTTATGTGTCATACTCTTTCCCTCCATGAATCTGTGGAAGTAGTTGCTCCAGTCTCCAGGCTCTGGCTGAACATTATTCATGCGGTCAAAGTGAAAGTAGGAGACCATGTTGTCTTTGGCATTGCGTGCCACATAGACGATCTGTAGCAAGAGAAAATACTTCAGTTATCTGAGGGCTTAACACTGAGCAGGACACTTTTTTTAAAAAAATTTTTATGTAAGCGTTTTCTTTTAGTAACTGATAGTACCAGCCAGCCACAAGCTTAACCTCATAAGGCCAGGTTAGTATATATTGATGACAGAAATGGGCTTCTCTGCCCAATAGTCTCTCACAAGCCCTTTACACATTACAAGTCCACAAACGTGCCGAGTTGTTACACCTCTGTATGTAAACATTGCATCGCCTTACAGGAGCGTTAACATCCCGACCATAGAACTCGCGATGTGTAAAAGACTATGAATTCATCCTGCACTGTAATTGAAGCCAGATTATGTGGGTTTGTTTTTACACATTTCCTGGGTTAGATACTTCCATTATTTGACTAACTACTTTGTGTGTGATTTTAAAATTCATGAATTGTGGCAGAAGATGATTTCACCGACCCTGCAATTCTGCTCCCAAAAGGACTTTGGCACAAACTGAACTGGGAAATGAGTCTTAATGAGCCGAGGAGAGGTTTGGAGCCGGTCTGCTAGGTCTTTTCCTGTAACAAAAGGACACAAATGGAGTGAGCAAAACCCTGATCCTTTAAGGTGCTTAAGAAGTCTCTTGACCTACAGTGTGATAAAAACTGGGCACTGTTAGAAACATGACACCAATAAAAGGAATATGTATCTGCTGCATATGATGAAGTTCACTGAAGTTTACATGAATGGTAGACAACTAACAATGAAGACTGAAGCTTGACAATGAATGTATGTAGGAATAAGTATTCTACCTGCATCAATCGATGGGACGAATATCTCCAAGAAAGGCACTCTGTCATATATTGGGATGGATGACTGACGCTCTGGGTTTGTTTGACCGAAATACAGCAGGTCAAGAATGTAGGAGACCCATGTGGTTCCTGGAAGAAAGACACACAGAGAGGACAATAAAACTCCAAACCTTCCAAACTTCATACATATCATCCGATTTATAATACGCCCAAACTGATTCTTTTTTGTTCCGTATACTCGCCTGCTTTGGGGTATGTTGCAATAAGTATGTCATCCGGCCTTGCCTTGAAGTTTTGAACGTTCTCCCAGTTGTCTGTGAAATAGTGGGACATGAAGACTCCATGGAATTCAATCAGTTCTGGTCGAAGTGAATCCATCTTTTCAAAAAAAGTCAGAACATTTTAACATTCAGAGCATGGGATCAGTAAGTGAGAGAAGTCACACTTTAAGTTGCAGCAGTGTTCGTTTTCAGTCTCAGTGATTTCGTTTTTTTTGTTGTTGTTTTTAAATCAAACTTCCTTCAGTCATTTTAGGAGTTTGTGCTCACTTCCACTTTTTAGCATTCTATCTTAGCAGTTCGAGTCATGAACCCAACTTGAAAATAAGAAACAGTATGCATGCAGCTCTTTTCAAAAGGGATCATTTATAGACATACCTTATCTGGATCAACACAACACACTGGTCACTTCTTATTCCTGCACTGTTTTGACGCTGATTATTTTCTCTTCTTTCCTGCACATTTCCCGGAAAAGCTGTGGTCCTTTCTCTTGCCACTCATTACATAACTCGGTGTCGCTTGTATTATACCAGTTGGCTCGACATGTGATATGAAAGTCCAGCTCCTCCCCCGTTCCTCGAGATGGTCCTAACAAATACAATCCCCCCCCCCCTCCCCAAGTGAGCGTGTGAAAGGCTGAGAGCGAATACATACAACTGACGAGCTTGGGCTTGCTCCAAGAATGTAAACAGCAAAACTTTTTAGATAACTCTCGGTGTCATCCTCATATAACCTTTATTAAAAGTTCCTGCAACTTCTATATTTAACTAGTTAAGAGTGAAAATCGGGGACCAAGTTATTTTTTTGATGACGTCAAACTTTCTGCTGCAACTCATCTTTTATAAATTGAATTTGAATGATAAGGGGGAGGATAACCTAGAGTTCAGACCGATCTTAGATAATTTAGCACTTGAGAGCAGACAACAACCTTATCAGAGTACTCACAGACGTGCATTTGACCAGTTTATAGTTAACAGAGTAACAGATTTTATAGGCTACAGACGAGGAGCTGAACGCACGTTGAAACTGTTTTCTAGAGACCATCGTCTATTAACTGAGACTGCAGTCTGAACTGGTGTACACACACTCCACTAGTAAACTGAGTTGTATTAGGACAGGTTAGCAAATTCATTTTTATTTTTTTGTCCCTCGACTTCTGAGCGTATAATGGCACGTTCCTTTACTCTCACTCGTCCATTGGAGCTCTCTCTCTCTCTCTCTCTCTCTCTCTCTCAATTCAATTCAAATGTATGGCAAGCCGTTCAGGAAATTAATATATTGAATGAAACTTTGAATATATTGAACGAAGTCTGAATATATGGAATGGAACTTGGAATATATTGAATGGAAGTCTGTAGTGTTATTTCAGCTTCCATCTCAGTAAGAGACTAAAAAAAAATCCCTAAAGATGGTTGCACAAAGTGTGCTCAGCAATGTTTTGTTAAGCATTACTACTCATAAGCAGTGAAAGTGTTCCAATAATTGAAGTATGATCTTCAAGTTGACGCTTTCTACATTCCAAATTATTCATGTGATTTTGAGTACGACCAGCAACTTTTCAAAAAAGTTTTGATGTTCAAGAAAGTATTGGTATATTTCAGCTGATGTCATTTTGCAAAACCAGCATATTCTGCAGGGTGTCTTTTGGATGAAAACAATGAAACTGGTGAATTTGGATAATTGAAATCAGCTTCAATTCCATATTTTCAGACGTCATTCCATATGTTTAAAGTTTAATTCAATATATTCAGGCTTCGTTCAATATATTCGAAGTTTCATTCAATATATTAATTTCCTTAACGGCTTGCCATATAAATGGCAATACAATTATACCCTCTCGAATTAATGATAAAACAAACTTTTACAACACAGGATCTTATGTGAAATATTGTTCCTATGCTAAATATTAGAGAAATAGCTCGTAGCATATATTGATTTAGGCTATACTTTGTGTGCTGCCCCATTACATGGCTACATTCTGTTACGGTGTGCGTAATGTGAAGGACACTGGAAATGTTCCATTATTATACAAGCTGAGTGAATAACATTGAGGATGTGATACATCATTTTTTTTGTGATCAACTTTTTATTGAAATTTTACATAAGATGCTTACACACAAACACATAAACACTAGATACACAGAGAACTCAAGAAACACTAGGGTACGAAGTTACAAAATAACACACAAAACACTTAAGACTAAACTATGAAACGTTAGGATAAAAACATACAAGGGAAACAAGCAACACTAGGATGAACAGGATAAATTAAAACATACTGAAATACAAAACTAAATAAGACCAAATCATGACACAGTCACATTGGATATCATGTCGCTTCAGATTACTGTAGTGCATATCAACAAGGATACAGCGGTGGACTTGAGAATCTACATAGAGCACTATTTCTGTCCAGCCAACATCAAGTATCAAGTGTGAAAAAAAACAACTGCATTGACCCGTGAACAACAAGTAGAAATTAGAGGTTTTGCTTTAATTGCTGCTTTAATTGAATGTATCCATTTTATGCACTTCAACTTCTGCAGAACTTGTCAAATGGAGGTACTGCACTTTTTTCCTTCATCACATTTATCGAACAGTCAACAGCTAATTGTGAGATTAAGGTTAAACATAAAAGAAAACATTTATAATCTTGTGAGTCTATATAAAAAACGGCATAGAAAAACGCTGAGGTTTTTTTGTAACTTGTGACTCCTTGTGACATGGCTTTAGGAGTCAATGAATTTCCCCAAGGGCTGAGTCATAAAACCTCACATGGTTTCTTAATGATTGTCTGAGGCAAATGTTTGACAAGGAGAGAGAGAGAGAGAAAGAGGTTGTAATACTTTTAATTTGTCAATGATCAAATGACGGAACTAGCGAGGAACCGCTGGTTGAATAAGTTATTCCATGTTTGAATCATTCACCTTGCACCTATAAAGGGAATGAAGCTGCAGTACTTGAATTTATGCATACTTTATGCTTCTCCAACATGAATTGGAAACTTTAAAATAGTCGTTTTCAATATGATTCAAGTTGTAAAATCTAGTGGCGCAAAGATTTAATTCAGTTCTTTTTTCGAGTTTAACCCAGTTGAATTCAACTGATTCAACCTGTGGCTCAGTTGGTAGAGTCGTCACCTCTCAACTGGAAGGTCAGGGGGGGGTTCGATCCCCAGCTGAGCAACATGTCGATGTGTCCTTGGGCAAGACACTTTACTTTGCGCATCGCTCCCGCTGCTTCGGTGGCGGCGTATGAATGGATTACTCTCTGATGTACGTCGCTTTGGAAAAAAAGCGTCTGCTAAGTGAATTGTAACATTGTAACGTGAACCTCTTACAGTGCACCTTCTATTGTGTTGTGAGATAAAAAATAAAAAAAAGTTAAAAGGCTTGTAAGGTAAACATGACCCAGGACAAGCTGTTCTAACATTTTATTTCAAAATATGCTGAAAATTCTAACCACATTCTATTTCAGAGAATTCATATTATCAACCTGGACACAAAATCTTATAAAAATCTTAAAACTAATATTTTATTGCGCGCTATGGAACGCCTACGTAACGTTCCAGAAGTGACGTCGGCGGAAGTTAAAAACGTATACAAGGAAAATGGCGTCCCCCGGCGACGCAACGCTGGATACCTCACACGTGGGTAAAAATAAGGTAAATACGAATAAATCATTACTAAGCGTCACTGTATCATTGTTATCATTTTTGGTTTATCGTCTATCGCCGCTTGTGACTGACACAAAACAGCCTCGCGTTTGCTACTTCACTTACATCTTGTAAGCTAACGCAAGTAGCGCCGGGATAAACTGAGTTGAACTGATGCCTGAACAAAAAAAATAATAAAAAAATCTACTTCTTCACCTGTCCTTTGATTAAAGTCGTCTCTGCTTTGCATCCCAGGTCCCAGCTCGTTACTGGCTGGAGCTGCAGAAGGAGGGAAAAGATGAAGCTGAAGTTGGAAAAGACGCAGAACCGAGTAGGAAGCGTCTGCGACGGAAGGAGAAAAAGAAGGAGAAAATGAAGGAGAAAAAGACACAGAAAGCCAAGAAAATGAAACAAGAAGACACGCTTGTGAAGCAAACGATATCAGGGGTGAGATTGATGTGTTACTGACTCAGATTCATTCATTAACACAGCGTGGATTTCTATCTTGAGTGTCACATATGTGGATGCAGTGTCAACAAATCCGTGGATACTTTTAGGAAAGTTTATTCAGACCAAGCAGTTTGATTGGATGAGAGGTATTCCAGTTGCAACTTGTGCTGGTATAAATTACTTTGTATATCACTCTGCTTCAGGTAGGCAATCTGAAACCATCAAATACACATTACAGGAGACAGTCATCTTCTAGTTCAATCGACTGCACAGACCTCCTCAAGAGGACACCAGTCTCTTCATTCACTGGTTGTGTGTGAAATGGAAACAAACTCATAAATGTAAACGATATAAAGTAGCTGGTTGGTGGTAAAAATCCAGACATACTCGAAGTACCATGCAAGTCCCAGTACTCGTTGTGTTGATGGAGAAATGAATGATTGCATGAATGCTTCTTGCAGGCGTGTATTGAATCACTAACCTGGATTATCAGTTATGACAAAATGCCAGCATATATCTCCCAGGTCTTCATGAATTTAGTGTTTGGTAAAGGCAATTCATTGACTTTTTTTTTTGTGTTTCTTGTTTGCGGCCCTCAGAAATCAGACCCCTTCCCTGGGCCTGCTCCGATTTCACAGGACCGGGTGCGGAAATTCAAGAGGAAAACTAAAACTAAAAGAGTAAGCAACCAAAAGTCTCCTTTTTGTATACAAATTCTAGTACAGTAGATGCTGCCACTAGCTAACGTGTGTTTCCTGTTTCTGGGTGTAGTCCGGGAGCGTAGGTAACAAGCTGAGAGACGTGATATCCCGCTCTGAAGAAGCCTCAGAAATGGCCCAGAAGCAATCTGCCCGGTTTGATCTCCTACTCCCTGAGGATGCTGGGTAATTTCCTGTAAAAATCTATGGATCGCGGCCGCGTTGAATCATCAAGTGCACAGCGGGGATCTAGAATGTAGCTTTAAGCCATCGTTTAAAAGCCTGGGTGTTAAACTTTCCTTTCTCCTATGTCAGGTTTCTAGAAGGTGATGAAGATGAGGACACGTGTACAATCTCTCAGGAAGATATTGCAGATGCTGTGGATATAACATCTGGAGCAAAGGTGAGACTGCTGAATGGTTTCACACCTGATGTCTAAGCTATAGTCTTTGTTGTAACAAAGTCTCCTTGTTAAACTTTTTGTGGTGAAACTTGCATTGACTAAATGATTTAAATCACCATGAAACTGACACCTTTTCATCCTCATTTTAGTGAAAATCTTTCATCTTAAAATCAAAGACTTCACAATCAAGAATATGACAATGTTCACATAAAAATGTAACAGTTTAGATTTTCATTAAATCATTATCCACTCCCACCAAAAGGGCCATGAAATCGAGCATCTGATGCCAAAACTAAATGATTAATTGGGATCCTATTAAAGGACATGCAGGGTACATAAATGATCGCAACTTCTACTTGTCTTCGCCTCACCACTCTCGTCTTGATACAACAATCGGACGTCCTTATATTAAGAGATGGGGGTGTAGTGGTATGCTGTTTACAGGTTGTTGACGCAAGGTAATAAGAACTGAGCTGGTGCACATGCGAGTTTGCGTATGCACTTATTTTATGTGCAGCGTAAGAACATTTCTACCTAGGTTTGCAGACTTCCACGAAAGAACAAAACAAGGTTCATTGGTTCAAGGCTCTTTTGTTCCAACATGAAAGACCTTGGGAACATCATAAGCATCAAAAAGCACATGTTGTTTTTGACTTGTGTCATAAATAACAAATGTGTGTCCTCCCAAGTAAACATTTGTTTACTTGATGTCTGCTGTTGGCCTCTGGTTCTGAGTCAAACGGGTCTTACTTCACAAGACTTAATGTATGTAACTGTTTTTTTACTAATGTATTTTTTCCCTCTCCTGTACCTCCTCAGTATTTCAACCTGAAGCTGTCTCAGTTTGGACCATATCGAGTAGATTACAGCAAGACTGGGCGGTCAGTATTCTACTCTCTGATAAAAGACAATCTTTCTTTTTTATTTTTATATATATATATATATATATATATATATATATATAAATAAAATTAGACATACACATAAATCGCAGACGAAGCAACAGAGTCCACTATACAACACTATAATGACAATATTTGCCTTTATATCAATACTGCATATAATTCAACAGAATGGCAATATCAACAAATGAGCAGAGAACAACATACTGACGAACAGAAAACATAATGCAGCCGTTTAATTACGTGCAGAGATGGTAATGCTCGTGTGCGTACACTCTATGCACCGTGCAGCTGTCACAGCATAGAAACGCCATTCCCCCTCCTATTGGCTCGAGGTGAATTCTCCGGAGAATATCCTGCGGCGTTCTCACATCAGCTCACTCTTACTTGCTGTGAAAAAAATACTGGGGGTCTGTCCGGAGAAACTCGGGGTGACGTCGGAGCGAAAAAATGTGGCTCTTTGCGTTCCCATTCATTCAACATGATCATTCATTCAGAGCTGGTATTAACGCACCTGACGCATATTCATTCTTCTAGCTGCGACACACTGTTTTCATCTGAGGGATGTTAAATTTGTATAACATAAGTCTGAGTGGTATAGAGTGTATTCCTCCGAGTTGTTCAAAGCAAACAGCCAACATAGCATTATTATTGTTTAAACAAAAAGGTAATGCTGCTCATAATACGGATTCTCTGCTAAGACAATCTGCAGAGTTTGCTCAGAAACATGATTTCAAATGTCTAATGTGTGTGTTGTCTGCCAGTTCTTTACAATATTTCCTCTTCACTTTTAGTCACCTGCTGCTCGGTGGGAGGAGAGGCCACGTTGCTTGCGTCGACTGGCAGTCCAAACAGCTAATGTGTGAAATAAATGTGATGGAGTCCGTCAATGATGTGAAGTAAGTCGTCCAGCCTGGGATCATGCATTGAAAACTCCTGTTTAGTGCAATCAAGCTTGACCTACCTGAACCGTGTAGAACTCTCTCTCTCTGACAATAAAAACTCGTCTTTGTGTTGATCCAGGTGGCTTCATAGTGAGGCCATGTATGCAGTGGCTCAGAAGAAGTGGCTCTATATCTATGACACCAATGGAATAGAGCTTCACTGCATACGCAAATTCAACGACGTCCTCCGTATGCAGTTCCTCCCGTACCATTTTCTGCTCGCCACAGCAGTGAGTTCTTGTGCACAAATCTCTCCCTTAGTGCTTCACAGTTGTAACTTCCCAAACTCTATAAACACTGACTTTACTGAACCACCTGTACTCAGCTCTGACAAAACTCTCCTGATGCTCCTCTTGTCTTCAGAGCGCTACAAGCTTCCTGCAGTACCTGGACGTGTCCGTGGGGAAGGAGGTCGCAGCCATCTGCACAAAGACCGGTCGGCTTGACGTGATGTGCCAGAATCCCCACAACGCCATCGTCCACCTCGGCCACCACAACGGCACGGTCACTCTCTGGTCACCCAACCAGAAGGAAGCACTCGTCAAGATGCTCTGTCATCAGGGTGGCGTGCGATCAATCGCTGTAGACAAGACCGGCACGTGAGTCGCACCTTTAAAAACTTCCAGCTAATTATGCAGTGAAACAAACATATTGGACTTTTAGTCAAGTAGAAGAAAGCTGCACTTATAGTCTGTGTGTGTAACCGGTATTTCTTACAAATTGTTATCCATATTTTACTTCAGTCTTTAGCTGTGCCGTCAATATGTGCAAACCTTGACATGAACATAACAGTACAAACTGCAGAGTGTGAAGTAGGGAATCCTGACCTGTCCTGACTTTTGTAATCTAATTATCTATGTTTTAATAATGGAAAATACAGCGCTTTTCACAGATTTCTATGCCTGTGTCAATACTTCATGACTTCTTGTGGTGTTGCTTACAACATCAATGTGCTGAAGTCAATTGGGCGAAGAAGTCAGCAGGCTTAGGTTAAACAACGGTGAAGAGATGCCCTCACTGCTTTTTGATCCAAAAAAGAAAGTTAGACGGAAAATGCTGCTGCAGCTGTTTGTGCTGCAACGAAAGGTCGGTTAGAGGACGCACTGCAGTCTGCTGAGAGAGTTGCACCACTTACTTGTAATGGGTGGACGTCACTGGTGGCTCAGTTCTACGTGACAATCACTGCTCATGTGATTTCTAACGAGAGAGGGAAATGCATTCTTACGTGTTAGAAACTAGGGTGATGCATGAACTCACACTGCTGTTCATATAGCAGACGTTTTAAGGCTAGGGAGGAATGAAAGCTGAGTGACAAAGACCCGGAGTTGTACCTGGGTTGTGCTGCTTGTTGAAAATAGCTGCCGTATAACGATAGAACAGGCTGTCAGTATTCAATAATATACTGTTCTAAGCATGTTTAGATACATGCAGAGCTGCTTATGTTGCAGCCAGTAGTTTCACTTGTCTTCACTTTATTGAAGCGTTTAACAAAGACTCAGTTCCTTCATTCACTCTGCCTACGAGTCTCTTCCGCTGCTGAATCATAACTAAAACTTTCTTGCTGACTCTGGAGCATCACAACAACAACAACAACAACTCTTCTTCGAACTCCTGCATGCCACTGTCACTCACAGACTCCACCTAGTGGTGTAGATTATGCAGCGCATTTAATTAATAACATGTCAACATCAACTGCTTGAATAATGTTGCAGTTCAGAAAAATCCATTAACATTAGCAATTTTGAAGATGAATTCAAAAAGATTATAAACTAAAGAATTTCAAAATGACAAGTACAACAAAAATTAGTTTGTATAACCAAACAATAAACATCAATGTTCTCAATTGACCTGTCACACTTGGCATCTCATTGAATAGCACTCGTAGAACACTTTACTGACTACAGTAGTTGTCACCTGTACAATCATACATTCAGGTTTACAAAGAAACCTTTTTTTATTCTTTAAGATATTTTAGCAGTAAGTGTGTACAGGTCTACATACACAAGCGGGTTATGTCTGTCAAAAAACGAACGTCTAATTATCTTGTGTCTTTTTTTTTTTTAAGAATCTGTTACACTTTCTAATTCCATAAATGTAATTTACCGACTCAAAACCTTAATATTATTTCATCTAGCTAAATCCTGCACATCCTTTTTAGGGGCATTTTTTATTCCTCTGTTTAACACAGATGATCACATATCATTACATAATTGTCTTGTAATATATTGATTATAGGCAATTATTTTATTGTGATATTGTTGTTTTGGGCCATGTATCACGTATGGTGTCGTTTTGTGAGCTACCCTTCATTTCCCACCTTTTGTGTTCAGTGTGTTCTATAAATTCTGCTTCTAATAATAGAGTGTATTTATTTGTCATTGTGCTTTCCCCGCGTTAGTTGTTTGTTAACAACTTGTACAACAAATCCTTAATTAGAAAGGCGTAAAATCAGGTGGATTTTCTGTTGAGCTGCAATAATAAGCTGCACTTTTGTCTTTGTCCACCAGAGAGCACTCTTTCATTCTGCTCTGTTCTTTTGGCAGATACATGGTGACATCTGGAATGGATAAAAAGCTGAAAGTGTTCGACATTAGAACATTCAAGCCACTCAATTCTTACTTCCTGCCTGCCGGATCTTCCTGTCTGTCGCTGAGCCAGAAGGGGCTGCTGTCAGCTGCCACTGGAGACGTTGTTCAGGTCTTTAACACTCACACACTACATGAATGGAATGTCGCTAAGAGACAAGTAAAGGAAGTGATGCATTTCCAGCATTGCTTTATCATGAGTAGGATCTTAACCATGAGTAGAACTTGTATACTAATAAAAATAATAGCTTTATTTATCGAGCACCTTTAGAAACAGATGTTTGCTTTAACACACGAAGCAAAGGCAGGAACTCAGAAATATAACATAATAAGCGTCAGTAGTCAGGCCAAACAGAAATGTAGCATTTCAATTGGCAGTATTGTTTATTATGAAGATGAAGTTTCTAAACTGTAATGAGGCGTTGATTCTCTTTCAAAATCCTGCGGCTGCTGAAGGTGTGTCACTATGTTTTTTTTCGAGATGCATTCTTGATAACAACTGAAAGGAACGTAGTCCACGCCCATCAGTGAAGTTGGACTTCAAACCCATAAAATACAGTCTCAGTCTGTCACATGTAGGCCTCATATTGTCATGTTTTTATATGGCAGTGAAAGTCAGACTGTTTGCTCCACAGTCCAATATAGCTGCAATAAAATAAAAGGTTTAAGGTACTTCTGGGCAGTGGGCACCTTGGGAAGTGTACTGGCACCTCTCCAGCTACCAGACCAATTTCCAGATTTGGTCCGCACCGGGACTTTAACCGGGGACCCTCCTGTTCCCCTCCTACACAATGAGCTACTGCCGCCCCATATTCACTGTCTGTTTACATTTTGTCATGTTGATAAAGACAATTGCCTCAATATAGTACAGGAACAAAGAAACACCAATAATACCCAGAACTATGGGGGAGCAACAATTAAACATAACTTCAAGAGAGAAACTAAGAAATAAAATAAAAAATCATCATCATTATAATGACCATAATTATATGAATATAAATAATTTTGGACAAAAAAAACCAATTTGAATTTAAATAGTAAGTACTCAATTATACAACAAAAAGGATATCCCTAAGGGCACGGTCACACTGGCCATCCGTACCGTGCCCAAGCACGCTTCAACGCTAAAGTCCAGTTCGTTTGATCAGTGTGACCGCTCCGTATCGTGCTCAGGCACAGTACACTTCCTTGGCTTTGGCACACTTCGGAGAGGTGTGCTTCAGCACGGTACACTTCATGCTCGAGCACAAGCATGCGGGTAAACAACGCTGACAGCCTTCATTATGGAGAAATCCAGAGTTTCATGTCTGTACCAGACTAACATGACACAATAGTCACAATGACACAAAGTAGCTGTCATGCTCTGTGTTGTTCTCCGATCGCACATCGGAGAACAATTCATTTATTTATGGCTGTGTCTGATTAAAATGGCTTAAAATAAGCTGTAAAGTAGCTGTCATGCTCTGTGTTGTTCTCTGATGTGCAGACGCGGAATCGACTGCTTGTCTCTTCTCTCTCTCTCTCTCTCTCTCTCTCTCTCTCTCTCTCGTCCGCCTGTTTGTAAACTGAGCACGCTTCATAATGACATAAAGCGTGCATGTGTTGTATTACGACGTTATGTACAAAAGGTAATTGTGCTTAGGCACGGATAGTCCTGTGTAGTGTGACCGCAAACCCCCGCCGGCCAGCGGGGAATGGCGCTGCAGGGGGGGGGCAATCGTGCTTGGGTACAACACGGTACGGATGGCCAGTGTGACCGCGCCCTTAGAAAACTGTATTTGTTCATTACAGTCATTATTACAGATAACATTCCACCTGTTTTATGCTGCTGCCCCACACAGACAGGTTATCCTGCACTCCCCAGAGCCTACTGAAACATATTTTGTCAAAACTACTTGGACTTCAAATGTATTCCAACGAAGAAACCAGACCACTTGCCATTCTGAAAATCCTTTATCCGCGTGTACATGGATTAGATGAAAAGTTACCCTAGACACTGAAATATCACCACCTTAAGACCCTTTTCTGTGTGAAAGTCTGCACACAACCTGTTGTAGAATATTCAGAAAAAGACTAGACTGTCCTCCTTTTTGTGGGATCTCCATAGCCATACAACAAAAAGGATAAAGAAAGAAAGTCACGTTATATATTCAGTCTGTGGGTAAGGTCTGTAAGGAGTTGGAATACATTAGGAGGGGTCGCCATTTTTCTAAAAACCTCTCTTGAGTTGCCTTCCAGCTCCTCCCTCATTTTTTCCAGTTGAAGGAGAAACATGACCTGATGACGACACTGAGACATAAAGGGGACTTGAAGAAGAAGTCGTTATCATGCTAATAAGGACGTAAATGCTCAAATGCTTAAACACACAGTATGTAAAATCTGCCGTCGGGGTTCTCAATCAAAACAGAAGATGGCATTGAGGCGAGCGGAGACTCATGGAAGTTCTCTCTGCTACTTGTGCCTTTGTTATGACTAGTTCTTACTCCTTGAGCCTTTGTCTTGAGCCTTTTCCCATTCATACTTAGCTCTATGTTTATCACTAGATATCGAAGCCCAGTGAATAGATTTTAAAAATGGATGTTGGTCTGCTGTCGTTGTACTGCATGGTTATTTATTACATAGAAAATCGTTAAGTAGGTTGACTTCATATGCTGAAAATAAGCCAACATTTTACTTCACACAGGCTCACTTCAGTGGTTGAGCCCGAAACAGAAACCCACGTTATTTTCTTTTTTTTAAAATTCACGATTCACTGGAATTAAGTTTGCAGGGATAACATCATGATGCAGATTTATAATCTTTGTCTAGAGATGAATAAATAGTCATCAGTAAACAGCGGCTAGGATCTGGTTTGTCATATGTTGTGTCATGCAAAGTTAGTACCAGTAAGTGCAGGTTTCTTAGAAAAGAGGAACTTGAGTGTGGCAGGAACTTCCTGTTGTCAACTTGGGGCGTCAAACGCTCACGCTAAATCCAAAAAAGAGTTGCAGTGAAGATAAATACGAACAGTGAACAGTATGTCAAACTGTATTTGACCATTACAGTCGTTATTACAGATAACATTCCACCTGTTTTATGCTGCCCCACACAGACAGGTTATCCTGCACTCCCCAGAGCCTACTGAAACATATTTTGTCAAAACTACTTGGACTTCAAATGTATTCCAACGAAGAAACCACACCACTTGCCATTCTGAAAATCCTTTATCCGCGTGTACATGGATTAGATGAAAAGTTACCCTAGACACTGAAATATCAACACCTTAAGACCCTTTTCTGTGTGAAAGTCTGCACACAACCTGTTGTAGAATATTTAGAAAAAGACTAGACTGTCCTCCTTTTTGTGGGATCTCCATAGCCATACCACCTACACACATAAATTAAACGCGTCTTTCTTTTCCCTGAGCGTCTGCACAGATATTTATTCACACTAAATCTACCTTACAACATGATGATACATTCTCATCCATCTGCAGATCACATTTGTTGAGAACCGTGGGCTGTGATTCAAACAGATTATGGATCAACTGAGATCCTTTGCACCACCAGCTATTGCAGTACTGAATACATTGCAACATTTCATCCTTGTGACAATAGCCTACTATAAGTACATTGATAATGATGTATTGCTGGGATTGTAGTAGGGATGTAAAGATTCACTCAACTCACGGTATGATCCAGGATACTGGATTCACAATATGTTTCTGTAACGGTTTATTTTACAAAATGAGACTGTAGACAAATGATGACTGCTTTAGGGGCTGCAAACCCACAAACGTGTAAGTGTGGTTTGGCCTTTTCATTTTTTTTTCTTGCTCTGCAGCAGCCAACTTCCTTTGACGCCCACGATATTTTTTAAATTCATCTTTCAGGGTACCGATGTGAAACTTGACACCTTTGAATCCATTTATCACGATATTACTTTACATCCCTAGATTGTAATGATTCACCCACTTACCGCTGCCCATTTTACTTTTTTTTTTTTTTTTTTTTTTGTGTCTAATCTATATTTTCTAATCGTTACAAAGATAGTTTTTCAAATATTACCTTAATGAAACTAATGTCTTGACTTCTGGGAGAAAATGTGTTTGCTTTAAAGTACACAGAGGAAAAAAAAGGTCACTGTCAGTTCTGTGTTCTTTCTTTCAATCCAGCTGAAAATAAGAAACCCTTCCTATTGGAAACAGTTTGTCCTCATATTGTTTAATCTGTGTCTTGGTAAACTGTCGTCTACAGGTTTACAGGGACGTATGGAGCACTACAGTGACCAAACCCTACATGGCTCACAGAGTTCGTGGAACAGTTTGGGGGCTACACTTCTGCCCCTTTGAGGATGTCCTCGGGGTGGGGCATGGAGACGGTTTCACCAGCATGCTTGTGCCAGGTAACACTGAGTTCCACATTATACACATCCATTTTTACAAAGTTGGATGGGAGATTCAGCTTGATGTAGTCATGTTGTTTTCCTCATGGGTAAAACAAAAAGCGAAAAAGGTTTATTTAAAAAGTGCTTCCACAGGCCTTCATGTGGCAGTGTTCTTGATTGCTTAAGGCAAAAGAACACCATTGACTGTATGAAACATGGATGTAGGCTGAGTGACATCACCTATTGATCCCTGAAAAGCTGCTGTGAAGCCAAATGATGTCGGTTGCCATATTGGAAATTCTGACTCCAACTAATTATACAAATCTGGAGTCAGGCAAAGAGGTTACATTGATGCAGGCTGAATGAATACTTTGGCTGCTGGAACTAGCTAGTGAGCCTAGCTAGCTGGCACACTAGCTAGTCCACCTCCTCACCTGATTGCAAATTCAAAAAAATGAGAGGAAGTCGTATATAGGCGACAGTTTAACGTTAAAGGAAGAATATGCGATTCTTTTTTGATCCAGCAGATGTCGCCCTTGAGCACCAGCATGAAACCAAAAAAACTTGCGCTGCATTGTTGTGTTAGGATTGCTAATGCTAGCGATATTGAGTTTGCTCGTATCTTGCACTGCATGTAAGTTTACACATTCAAAAAATCAGTGAGTACAATATGTTATTCTTATTTTCTCTAGTGAGTCCCTCAATTAAACAACTTTTATACGCAAGGTGATGAGCTGGCCGGCCGTCCGAGCGAAGTAAACATCACAGACAGCGGGACTCGGGTGTCACACTTATTGTAGACAGTCATGACTCACAGAGTTATTTTCAGACGATATATTTGATTTCTGCTACATTGAAGTGTGAAAAATCACATATTCTTCCTTTAATAAAGGCGTTAAGCTAAAGTGGAGCCTTACCTCCAAGCATAAAGTTAAGTGTTCGCTTATCAGTTAAATCAGCCACGCCCCGTTTCAGATCATTAATATATAATCATTACAGAATGTCCTTTGTAGAGTTTTAAGTTAAAGACATGATCTATAGAAAACATTGTTGCTGTAAAAATGCTTTATTTCTGCTGTAGAAGTGGGTGTTACGAGTGTTCTTGGCATTTGTAGCAAGCCTCAAGTGGACACTCGAGGAACTGCAGTTTTTTGCACATCTACTTTGTCTTCATTTTTTAAAATTATTCTTTATTTTGTTTGTTTTATACAAACAAACAAAATTGATGAACAGATGAACAACAATAAGATGAATACCTATATAGCCATTTCACAGTCCATCATTGTCCAAAGGGTCAGAAGAAGATGGTGTTCTCCTTTGCAACAAAGTCTGTCCATTTTTGCCACCTCTTTCTTTCCCTCTTTAACTCTGTCGTCTTCAATTTCAACTCCCAGGTGCAGGAGAGCCTAACTTTGATGGTCTGGATGCAAATCCATACCGTAGTGCAAAGCAGAGGCAGGAGTGGGAGGTTAAAGCCCTACTGGAGAAGATCCAACCAGAGCTCATCAGCCTCGACCCCCACGAGCTGGGACAGGTCGACAATGCCGCCTTTGAGCAGCGGCATCAAGACAGGGTCCAAGCTCTGGTCAGTGTCTTAGAAGCATCCTGTTAGCACAGAGCAAAGTTTATTTTAGGATTGTCAAAAGGAGCACAAATTCTGCTCAGTCGGTATAGCAGGGCCCTCAAAGGCAAAAACAACTCATTTAAGATAGAAAAAGGACTGTCACAGCCCTTCTTAAGGCTCAGCAAACGAGGGAGAGAAAGCCTGAGGTGTAACCAAAATGCTTTTCTTGCATAACCAAAGAGGAAATTCATAAGAAAACCATAACCCAACAACTAAACAGGTTAGGTAGCAGCAAAGCGGAAACCTCGCCCAATGTTAAGGAAATGGTTGCAAGAAAGATCTAGAATTACAATCTTGACTCACTACCAGTGTAGAGTTCCAAGCATTACACTAACTGAACAAGGTTGATTGCAGATTTCTTGTAAATATTGGGTATGCTGGGTAATTTACCGAGACAGCCACAGATGTGATTGTGATCAGAGTAATACTGCCACTCTGAAAACAAAACAAAGTCACCGAGATGCAAAACTCTTTTACATAAATAACATGGAAAAAACCTCAACCTTCAACCTCATTGTATATTGTATATTATAATGTATTATTCAAATGTATTTCTTATTTGTATATTTGGTTTTAGTATTTGTATATTTTCTGATATTAGGCATCTACAGGCTGGCTCCAACAGTACTTTGTTGTACTTTGTACAGTAACAATAAAGATATCTTATCTTATCAAAACCGCCCCACACCATCCTGGACAAGCCCCGTCATATCTCAAACCAGCCCAATATAAGGAAGAGGATGTAGTATTTGATTTATTATTTATGACAACAGCTCTAAGTGGCAAATGTTTACTGATGCTGTTTTCAAAGAGAGAAGAGAGAGAGAAGCGACTGGTATTAGAGTAGAAGGCCTAAAAATGTACCACCAAGGGGTTGTACAAAGACTCAGGCATGCTCATTTGAAAATGTTAACTAGTTTGTTTTTTATTTTATAGTCCTTTTAAGCGCTTTTTTTTTTTTTTTTGCCATTCTAGGGCTTTGATCCACTGGCCAAAGCGAAATTCATTCCCAAGTACAAGAAAAAAGGCAGGAGTTCTGCTGGCAGTGTGGAAAGACGCAAGAAACAAGTGGCTCATGAAGACCAGAGGGTAAGTACCTGAGAATAAGAAGAGTAAAACATTCCTACTGTTTTTTTCCTGATTTTCCCTTAAGGATATTTTTTAGTGCTTTGCTCATCACTCTTCACTTTTTTTTCCCCCCTTCAGGATGTAATCAGGGAAACTATGGAGGACAAAATGAAGATCGAAGAAGAGAGAAGGCAGAGGGAGAAGAAGGCGGCTGTGTTATCAGGCCAGAAATCTGCTTTGGACCGATTCAAAAAGTAGAAAAGGAGAATCCTTTGTGCAGCTAAAAGCCAGTGACATTCTGCCAGAATGACTTTTGAACTTCATATAAAGCATTCTTTCAGACACATTTCTCCGCTGCCGGAACAAAAACACATCAACTGCACAAATCCAGGATGAAGTCCGCTAAAAGGGACTAACTGTGAGGGGCGGCCATTCATTTGTAATCAGAGTTGAGTGCTGTGCTAGGACAGTTCTGTTCAATGCCTCTGGCCCGAAGCACTTTCTGTCTGCATGGGTGGACAATTTGAGATGCCGTGGCTGGTGTGGGCGCAGTGGTTGTCAAATGTTTATATTAATATGCTGAAGTAAAAAATGTTACCAAGCCTCTATATTATTCACAGTGCTATTCATTCTCCCAAAAGCATGTTCAGACTACTCTAAATATGCAGAAACCATGTTGAGTCAGAGTTTAACTACACTTACCGTAACAGCCTGGAATCCCACCCAGTGCATTCATTTTGAAAGATTTAGTTGCCCATTGATTAGGAAAAATTACAACATCTGAACAGAGGGATGTAAAAGAGCAACAGCTACTAGAATTATCTATTAAAGTGAAATTCTGTTGAATTTAAACAACCACTCAAGGATTGCTGGTAGTATTGTGCCGCCAACTTTTTCATTGTCTCAAATGTTTTTACATTGTCACGTCCTCAGTTGACTTCAATGTGAATGTTTGTGATTTAAGCTCTGAAAACTGGCCCCTGTAACACAAGAGAGTATTGCTCTAATGTTCTGTGTTGAATTCACAAATACTCCTTTCTCTTAATAAAATGTAAAGTTTGAGTAAGTAAAGTATTTTTATTCAGGCCTGTGTTCATGTTCAGGTCATTTATTTTCAGTCTTCTCCCACACAAATGAGGCTGGAGTTAAATAGAGGTTAGTGAAGGAATATAAATAAAGCTTCTTGTCTTTTGTTCAGGATGACTAAGGCTCTAAGTGCGGCACCTCTTTATCAGATGGCTTTGAGGGTTGAGCACCCACAAAGCCATACTTGGTTAATGATTTAAGAATGATTGGATGACTTAAGGCTCTTGACATATAAATCTATTAACTTCCCATATGATGTGGTGTATAGCTCACATTTGTTCGCCTGTGTTGGTGAAACATTTTACAGTTAGTTGGTAACTTCCTTAATTAAAGGAGAAGGGAAACCTAATGTGACGGATGTTGAGTGCTGAAACAGGAGAAGAAAAAAAGGCACTTTGCTGTAAGATAGAGAGTGGTTTATTTGTTATCTATTCACATACTTCCTGAGTGTTAATACTATGACATGTTTTCTATTACGATTAGGGTGGGGCAACACACTGAGGCTTTATCTGAACACTTTTTTTTCCTCCCTATTTTCCCTATTCCCTTTTAGAAAATACTTTTCAGACCAATCCTAGTCAACACACGCCAGCCTTCTCTGCTTAATGTTTCGTTTCACTAGAACAGGTGGGAAATATCCACGCTGTAGAATAACTGAACCTGCAAAGACAAAGGAACCAAACTGTCTCCGTAAACGGTTTTCAGAACTGGAATACGTCGCACCGCCTCAAATATCAACCATCAAATAAATGGCAGGCTGCACAAATTATCAAGTCATTTTTTTTTGAGTGTATGTTATGATTCCTAAATTGGATATATCCTGTACTGAGGGAATTGTTTTTTTTCTGTTTGGAACACTACAAACTTTTAAACTTATTACATATTACTTTTCTCACTACAAGGTATGACAATCCTGTGGTTTGATATCTTCATGCATTGAAGCGTCTTAACATCTACATTTTCGGTACCTGACAAGTAACAGAACAGATGGAACATATATCAAGATAGCAGCATTAACATTTAGTACTTAGTATGTTAATAGAAATACTTGGTGTAATTATTATTATTATTATTATCATTAACTGATGAGAGAATTGATTATGTGACACCAGAAGACGACAACTATGTGGTGTGTAACATGAGTCAGAGTTAGCCAAATACCTGCAATTGTGTAATATCTAATTCTGAAAAAGAAAATCCCTCCAGTTATAGCCTGCAGCTATGCAATATGCAATATTTCCATTTGGAGGGAAAGCATAGTGTTTCTTCAGAGCATTACATATACAGGCAGCTTTTAAATAATACTCTGTAATATATAGTCAGCATTGGGAAGGAAGTAATGGTGTCAGAACATTTCTACTATCGGCATGCCACTGTGGTTTGTTCTACTACACCATATGTAAGTGTAGAGATGACAGATGCTCTAACAGTCAAAGACTACTGTGACAGGTCTTCATAACTGCCAGATGATCATACCCTTTTATGCAAAACAAAAACAAGCCATTTGAATACATTAAAGTGTAAAAAAAAATGAAAGCTATAAAAATAAGGTGACATTTTTCTAGTACACATAGGTTCAAAGCAGAGCACTTGTGCTGTTCACAGTATTAAAGCGAGGCACAGCCCCAATCAGTCTTGTTTTTCTTCTATATTAACCCTCATAACCCCCCCTCCAGCCCCAGAACTGTCCCAATCATCGCCCGGACTTTGCACATTCCCAGAGAAGCACGCAGAGTCAGCCAGGAGCAGGGCTGTGATAAATGGACATCAGCCCAGTAGTGCAGCATCTCCCTGGGTGCGATGTGGTGGATGGAGACCATGGCCTTATAGCAGCAGCGCCCATATGGCACAGCAGGGCCTCCGGAGAAGAGGGGACAGTGTGAGGGCAGGACCCCAGCTGCCCGGGCACACAGGCCCACAAACACATCCTCGGGGGGCAGAGGGGTGGATAAAGGTGATGCTGATGCTGCTAGGGAGATTTTGAGCAATGCAGCACGGGACAGGACATAGGCTGTACCACTGCAATAATCAGGAAAGACAGAGGGGGGGTAGGCCCCTGCAGGGAGGTAGTGCTTGCTGTCTGGATCCCGGTCCGGAGCCACATGAAGATGAACCCTGCCGAGGTACAAGTCTCCTTGCTCATAGGGGTTACGGCTCTTGTTGAGGTAGTGCAAAAGGGCACTGGGATTAAACAGTACATCATCGTCCACTTTGGCCATGAAGTGAGCCTGAGGGCAGAACCGACGGGCCCATCCCAACATGGACAAGGTTTTCAGGGTAAGATTAGAGTAAGTGTCCACAAAACGACCCTGAATCAGGTCTCCTTTCTCTCTGGCTTCCTCTATCAGAAGCTTGGAAAGTCCAGGGTCTGCCGCCACACCCACCATGAACAGGGTCATGACCCGCAGGCCCCTTACCTCCACCTCCCCTCCCCAGGTGTCCCGGATGGCTTGGCGAGCCCTCTGATTGGCAGGAGCCGAGGTAACCATGGTGATGAGGTAAGGCTTGGCTCTCTGGCACACCAGCGGACTTGGCATGAGCAGGAACTCCTCGGGTCTTGCAGGGGGGACACTCTGCGGCGGAATGATGCCGGCGTGCGGCTCCAACACCCTGTTCATGCTCATGGAGGTGACCCATGACTCGATGAAGTCCAAAAAGAGCAGAGCCAGAAGGGATAGGATCGCTGTCGCGGCACAAAAAATTGGCAGAACGCCAAGCCTGCTCCCTCGCTTTCCTAACCGGGGCTTACATACCCAAAGTCCCCGACCGACCATGACCAAGCCCCGCTACCACTGCGCAGCTCCGGCCACCGATGCAGCTTCTTCAACTCTCACGTTTCTCCCCTGGTTCTTTTCCCTCAAGTCCTCAAGACAACAACAACAACAAAAAATCACTGTACCGTCATTGCGCTTCCCCTCTCTTGATCTCCTCGTTGTTCCTCCGCTCCGATGTTAAATAACACTCTGCTGCAGACGGAGGAGAGTGCCAGGGCGGTGAGGATGCGGCAAAAGTGCGGCTCTCCTGCTCTTGTGTTGATGCTGCTGCTGCAGCCCTGTCCTCTTTAACGAAAGTCGGATATGCAGCTGCGCAAATAAGACGATCGATCTGGCTGCAGCCCGAAGCTGCTTGTTACTGTAATAAAGAGCTGCTCTTTGAGTCGATTGCGATGTATAGGCCCATGTCCTCAATGATTTTCACTTTCGTGTGGCAGAATGCGCTCTGCTCTGCTGATGTGATGCACACTGCCTCGGATGAACCGCTTTGTTTTTCCGGTCACCAGGCTGCGTACGACTGTCCTGTGGACATACCAGCTGCTACACAGGCTAAAACAAAATCTACATATTTTATTCTTCAATGTAGGCCTAATGGGTAGCTATAAATCGACAAATGTTGTCCTTTTAAAGAGTGTTTTTTTTTCTTTTAGGCCTTTAGTTTATTATTTTAATGGGCTATTTATCAAAACGTAACACATCGCTGTGTTTTATCATTAGGCCTACCTATCAAGACTTCAAAAATGATAAACCAAATTTTGATTCAGGCTAAATAACCTTTGACTGAAGGAAAAAGGAGGCCTGTTTGATATGTTTATGTTTATTAATAGCCTATAAGATTTCAAAATAGCTGTAACATAGCCATAGAATGGCGAAATGGATAGGATATCTAAAGCAGATGTATGATCAACTTATATGGCCTGTTGTAGCCTACAGTCGTAGTATCCCATATCAGATTGAGAAAGCGATAAGGAAAGGCGAGATCATATCAGATTTTCTTTTCAAATCAGGATGATTTGAAGGGATTTGAAGCTTATCCGTGTGTGTATTGTTCTCCTGCAAGCCCAGTCGTGTGCTGCTGGTGCAGGGCGACACCTAGAGTTCACTCAAAGGTACTGAGTTACTGAATTTTAGCTTGTGTTTGAGCCTTGTTGTGAGAGAAGAACTCATGTAAATGTAGTCAAATGGTTCATGCAAATATGAGCTGATTCTTCACTATTCTACTGCAGGGTAAAGCACAGAAGACGCCAACAAATGATAACAGATATAGGAAATGTATTAATTAATTTAGTGTTATTAATTTAGTATATTGTCTAAGGCCCTAATATAAGCTGTGTAAATATGACCTTCTTTTCTCTTTCTAAATGTGTTATAAACCACAGTGGCCAACATTCCCTTGTTATTCTCACCCAGTTGACTGAGGCATTTATTTAAATTTGATGGTGAGGTTTCCCTGATGCTCTGAGCAAGCTGTAGTCAAAGTGAACGGCATAATTTACAACATTTATCTTCCGGTGTAACCACACTAAGATAACAGAAAGAGGAGCAATGATGTAACACGTTTACTACTTGTTTGATGATATACAATGAGGTGAAAATTTTTTTTTTAGCAGGCTACAAACTCACAATATGCAGTATGGAGTCAAAAGAAGTTCCATTCCTTAAATATAATGTATTTTTAATGTACATGATGATGATTTTAAAGACTTTGCAAAATAACAAAGGTAGATATAGCCTATGTGTTGAATATTAAAAAAAGCAGAAATTAAAAGCTTCAGTGTCTACTCTTAGTGTCAAGACTTTTTTATATTTCCTTAACTAAAAAAAAACAAAAACATTTTAAATGTTTAGGATAGGATAGGATAGTACTTTATTGATCCCCAGAGGGGAAATTTGGGCGTTACAGCAGCACAGACAAGAAAGCTCAAAAATACACATTAAACAGAATAGATAAGATAAATAAATATAAAAATACAAATACAAAATACAAATAAAAACAGGGGGTATATACAGTACAAAATGAATGATGAAGTTAACTGGGGGGAATTGAGAATTGAGACAGTATTTGCAGAGAATGACAAGATAAAGTGACAAGTGATTAAAGTGATCTGGTATGATCAATAGCAGCAAGTAATGTAAACAGCAGAGAAGAGAGGCAGTGTTGTACCACAGTAATGCAGAGTGCAGTTATATAATATAATGTAGTATATTATAATATAATATAGTGCAATATGAACAATATAGTGTAATATATGAAATGTTAAATAATATAGACTAGTATAATAATATAATAAATATATAGAATGTACAGTATATATGTATATATATATTGACCTAAATAATAATAATAATACAATAATACAATGATAATAATGAAGCAGGTCACGTGGGTAGTGTTTTATGGGGTGAAGTTTATTGTCAAGGACGGACTGTTATAGATATATATAGCATGTGTGTTGAATATTAAAAAAAATCAGAAATTAAAAGCTTCAGTGTCTACTCTTAGTGTCAAGACTTTTATATATTTCCTTAACTAAAAAAAAAAAAAAAACATTATAAACGTTTGGGTAGGCCTGTACAATTCACAAAATAAGTTAGCATCTTATATTCCATTGTTTCACTTCGAAGTGACGCAATATTTATCTGTTCATTGAGCTTGTCTTTTGTTCTCTTAATAATTTTTATTACAAATAGAAATAGCTTGACAGGAGCATCTGAAGACAGTCAGACATGATGACGTCAGTACTGTCTGGCTCGCGGTGGAGGGTTACTGGACGCGCGCGGGTTGGTGTGTGTGTGTGCGCGCGCGAGAGAGAGGAAGGAGGGGGAAGAAAGGAAAAAAAAAAAAAAAAAAAAACTGCAACCATCACCGACGCGCTGGTTGGTGGTGGGGTCACGAACTATGACCTTTAACAGAAGAAAACCAAAACAAACATTTTTATAAAAAAGACGAGAGCGCCAAAATCAGTGAGCAGTGTTGACCGGAGGTAAGTCTCATAGCCGGGATGAAAACCGCAGAAAGCCCTGCAAGAGATACCGGATGATAAAACAGCGCAGCTAATCCCAGAGCTAGCTCGTTAGCCAGCCGATTGCGGAGCTTCCTTCCTGCCCGACTCTGGCAACCCGGGATCGGGGGAAGAAAACGCCAAATGCTTGGGCGCTGATATGCCTCACATTGACACTTGAACCAATTGTTAATTTATGACACTGCTGTCAACTTTAACCATTATCCCTGCATCCTATTATAACCATCCAGATGAGTGACACGGATGCAGTCGTCTCTTGCAAGCAGACTTAACTTGCACTAAGATGGCTTAAACAGCTAATAAAGGAAAGCTAACTTTAAGTGGCTGCAGATGAACTCGACCCTTTTACCTTTGCCATCCCGGTGACAGCCATGGGGTTGAAATTAACATGACAGTTTAAAGCTGTGCTTTTTTAATTTTTTATATTTAACACACTACCTGAGCATAACGCGCACTGTACTATGTGAACTATGATTTTTTTTTTTTAAATATATTTATCATAAGGATTTGTATGTAGATTTATTGGCTGACTGCCAGGTTCTCCATTTTGTTCTGTGTTGTGATGCGTTTAAGGAAGGATGTAATGATGGGCACTGTGTTAGACCAATGGTTAATCAGAGGCTTCTCCCTTTGGTCACAGGCTCATAACATGTTTACATGTGTTTTGATTTAAGGGGATGTTGTCACTTTATTCTGCAAAGGAAGATGCCCAAATGCATTGTAGTCGACAAGGAATCGATATACAGCATTACAGGTTTCCAAAAGCCCATAGGCTTTTTTTAAGGGAGTTTTCTATGTGCCGGTATCATTACATATCTGTAGTAGAATATTTATATATTATATTTAAAAAGTACTTCATCCATGGATAGAATTTTTTTTTTTTAACAAACTGTGCATGGATCACAACCTGTCATGTTTTTACTTGAAGAAAATCATTTCTGCATTGTGGGATCATTTTCTTGCATGTAAAGAAAGACAGTTGAAATAAAGGCTGTGATTGAAATGTATGCATATAAAAAGGTGGTGACGTAGTTTCCTGTGGGAGTGAGGTGCAGTCTCTAGTGTTAGAAATTGAAAATCGAGGTCACACTCTGAGGTCACGGTTAGTGGTGGCATCGCCGAAGTCATGCTGAGGCTTGATTTGCCACACAACACATTTTCTCATGATCGCTGAACAGGAAGAATATCACACCAGGTGTGACCTAGAAGCAAATCCACACTACTGGTGTTAATGCCAGGCAAGATACGGAGCACCAAACAGGTTATCTTTTGACACATTAGGTTATAATTATTTTTTAATATTAATGTTAGTTAGCATTAAATAATTGTCTATGCTTTTTTTTTTTTTTTTTTTTTTTTTTGCCTCCTGAGTGAGATTTTTTTTTTGTGTCAAAGCCTGAGACATATTATTAACAGTGCATCAAAACAAGAGGAGAAAAAAACCTATAATGTTGTGGACAATGACTTCACTGCAAGTTTACTGAAATAAACAAAAAACTCATTAAAAAGATAAAACTTCATAACTTTTATCAAAACCTATACTTCCATGATTGTCATAGTACATCTCCATTGATGACTCAGTACTACATTGTGATGATAAAACCATCCCAGGCTGCATATGCATCATGCTTTTCTCTGACATCTTGCAACTTGGTGGTTGATTAATGAATGTGGCATCTTTCCAAACAGACCTCACTAATGTCCTTACATCATCAGGACCATGAACCTGAATCTGCTCTCGCAGCAGAAACTGGGCTCTGAGCACGAGGGAGAGGTGAGTGTGCAGAGAATGACTTCCATGATGTACTAAGTTCTACTACTTTAGCCTAAATAGATTTTACATTAAAAAATACTGTAGTGCTTCTATCTTTGGCCGTGTGGTTAGCAGATGATAGTTTTATATTGTTACCACAGCTACAGACCTCTTGTAGACAAAGGGACAGACTTACACGTGTTGTGTTGTGATAGGCTCGCTTCTCCAGGACTTGTTTATTTTTATGTATGTGTTTCATCCCGTCAAAATGTGTTTCTGGTTCTAGGGGTCATGCTCTCCTTCAGACTCAATGATGAGTGAGTCACCACAGCGCTTTCAGGTCATCTCCACTGAACCTACCACAACACCACAGCGAATACAGGTAATTGCTGTACTCTCAACTTTAGCTATCTTTAGAGAATGGGGACACTTCTTCCTGTCTTATGAAAGTTTTCTTGAATAAATTGATGTCACAATATGTGACTTGGATCTCCTAAGATCAGCGTCGCTTACTTTTTCTTTTTTTAAACTTGACCCCATTGATGCGTATACACCTCCTTCTTTGTCCTGTATCCATCCTCCATCTCTTAACACCCTCAGATTGTAACCGACCAGCAGACAGGTCAGAAGATCCAGATAGTGACATCAATCAAGCCCCCTAGTGCTCAGAAACAACAATTCATTCTGACTACAGCTGACAGTTCAGGGGCAAGCAAGGTTATCCTGACCTCATCAGACAGCCAAAATGCTAAGCAGCTCATCTTCACTGCTGCAGACAGCCTGCTGCCTGGAAGGATACAGGTACAGTCCCCCCCCCATAATGTCACCCTCTGGGACGGCATTGGCAATGTCTTGGTGAAATAATGTGATATTGACGTTGTGTTCATGTGAAATACCAGATATGGCCTGTGTTTGACTTTGACTTTCAGATTGTAACAGACCCAGTGTCAATGGAGAGGTTGTTTGGGCAGACAGGGGACTTGGGGCGAGCACAGCCAGTGGAGTACTGTCTGGTGTGTGGGGACAAGGCCTCAGGTACCTACACTTAGTTTATCAGTGATGTACTGACACCAATGTTTTCCCCTTACTAAATACTCCTTTTTACACTTGAGTAGAGCCTGATACAGAGGGCTATATCTATCTGACAGGACTGGTGTTCACTGATGTCTGTGTTACATGTTCACTTGGTGTTTAGGTCGTCACTACGGAGCGGTCAGTTGTGAGGGATGTAAAGGCTTCTTCAAGCGGAGCGTGAGGAAGAACCTGACGTACAGCTGCCGCAGTAAACAAGACTGTGTCATCAACAAACACCACCGCAATCGCTGCCAGTTCTGCCGGTTGAGGAAATGCCTTAATATGGGGATGAAGACTGAGTGTGAGTTTGCATCAACAGTGCCACTCAGATCAAGTATCATATCAGTGTATCTGCTGGTAGTCTTGAAAGTATATAAAAGATTTATTTCTATTTTTCCTTCCATATAAAGTAATCATTCTTTTGCACATAGTTGAGGGATGTAGGGAGATGTCAGGCCCCTCTTATCACTTATGGTTTTGAGATGTCGTTTGAGCTCTGAATCTGTGAAACAGTGGTGAAAGAAAGGTTTCATAATGTGAAAATGAACACATTGAACACTGCAGAACCCCTTTGACGGAGTACTTCAGCTCCTTGGATGCATTTCCTTAATAATTCCAATAATTGTTATCGCTCAAAACAAAAGGACAAAGTGTCAACACTGATGTGTCTACATTTCTCCTTGCAAGCTGTTTTGTATCTCTTTTATCATAATAACAATTCATCCACAGCATTTTTTTTTAAATAAACACACTTTATGTGATTGCTGTTAACTTTCAGCTGTCCAGAGTGAGAGAAAGCCCATCGATGTATTGCCCAGAGAGAAGCATGCCAACTGTGCTGCCTCCACCCAAAAGATCTACATTCGCAAAGATCTAAACAGTCCACTTATTGCCACGCCAACCTTTATCTCAGATACAGAGACAGATGGCTCCAGGTCAGTGGGAATCAGATCTGCAGACAAACCTGAGGCATGGTTGCTGTAATACGACTGTTTTTTATTATGCTCTGTGTCATGTTACTCTATACTTGTATATGTGTAATGACAATAAAGTTGAATCTCATCTCATCTCATCTCATCTCATCTCATCTCATCTCATGTGCAGATCCAGCCTGCTGGACCAGGGGATGCTGGTTAATATCCAGCAGCCGATCATCCAGAGTGATGGAACTCTGCTGCTGGCTGCTGACTCAAAGGTACAGCTGTTCATGCAGTTACAGTGCATATATTACATCTGCCTGTTAGGTTTCCTTATACGACCTGTAGGAGGAGTAGTAGTATGATCTTTCGACTCTCACACTCACATAACCCCGGGTCAATTTTGTTCATGACTATTCCTATAATTCTTATGAACTGGACACTCATGTCCCCAATCCTGACAACAATCAGGCAATGAATTTGTTATTATTATAAATAACTTTGGGGCCACCAACTGAGTACCCCAAATAACCTTTATAAAGTCTTTTAATCTGTATCCATTCATTGAATGTATTTTGAGATGTAGGCGATTCTTTCTGCTACTGGCAACACAATATTGTGCTTTTCCTCAGTTTAATACTGATGATTTAGTTTCAACAGTGGCACATTTAATGGGAAATCATTGTGCATTGTTTCATTTGATTTCAGATGGAGTCTGGTCAAGGGGACTTGGGGACACTGGCCAGTGTGGTAACATCATTGGCAAACCTGAGTGACTCACTGAAAGAGAATCTAAACAACAGTGATACCTCGGACAGCCAACAGGAGGAGCAGTCTGCCAGCGAGATAACACGGTCAGTCTGCAGAGCTCAGAGTGGAGGGAAGTGTGTTTGTGAGAGGTTTCAGCAACATCACATTACTCACTCTAACAGCGATGAGATCCCATCGTTTCTTGGTTAGTTTTGGCACCATATATATATATATATATATATATATATATATATATATATATATATATATATATATATATATATATATATATAGATTTTGCATCTCTCCCTTTCACCACTCTAGATAAGCCTATTTTTCAGCCTCTAAAGTTTGTTGTTTCTGGCCATGGAATAAAATCTCTCGAAATTTGTCACAAACATCCTGCAAAACCAGTGAAACAGGCGTTTGGCCAAGTAATAAATTATAACTTTTTCATAATCGCAACAAGAAGTAAACTCTGTACTGGGAATAGAATTTAGACAGAGGCCCTATCAGGGCCAGAAAAAAGCACAGAGCCCACGTCAGTTTTTAGTCATGGAGGATTAAAAAAAACATTTTTTTAAAGGAGTTGTAAATAAGAAATACATTACTTTTTTTTTTGTTTTCACAGTGCCTTTGACACCCTGGCCAAAGTTTTCAGCCCAACTGAAGTGGGTTCCGGACAGAGACTGGCAGATAAGTCACATTGTGTGGGTGGAACAACCATTCAGCTGATTGGCCGAGACCAGGAGACCCCCATCATTGAGGTTGAAGGACCACTGCTCACAGACAGCCATGTTGGTTTTAAGGTAGTTTAAGGTTTTATTTAATTTTAGTCAAACAGCTAATGTCCATAATCCATATATCCAAAATAATAGATACATGTTTCAGTAATGAGCTTTGACTTGGTGGTCAACAAACATGTGAGATTTGTAAAAGATTCAAACCACACTGATTTCAAATGACTGAAGCACTTTAAATCCTTTATTCACGTGGCTACATTGTATTACGAGCTGTACATATAACACTTGTGTATATTTACTTACACCCTCAAAGTTTTGGTTGCTCATTAAATGCTAAAAATGTCAAACATACTGAAACTGTTGATTTGATGTAAAATTGGGACACCTGTTGGTGCTTTTTTAACCTTCATTCCATGGTTGTCATTTTGCAAAATTTTTATGTATTTATTTATTTATTGATAATTTGCCCTGTCCTCTCTTTTCTAGCTGACCATGCCAAGCCCTTTGCCCGAGTATTTGAATGTACATTACATCTGTGAGTCGGCGTCAAGACTTCTCTTTCTCTCCATGCACTGGGCACGATCGATCCCTGCCTTCTCAGCTCTTGGGTGAGAATGCATTTGATACAAGAAGTCATGTCAACTTGAAAAAAGACACATGCAAAGAGACAAAACATCAGCAAATGACTGATGAAACCAAAACTGATCAGACCACAACTTCAGATAGTCAACCTCATGGAGGGCTTTAGGAAACAATGAAAGCTCCTGCTTTCACACAGTAAACACGCATATCCATGTGCTCACACTTCTCTTTGTATCTTATCTTTGTCAGTCTGGAGGCACACACTTGTTTGGTGCGAGCCTGCTGGAATGAGCTGTTCACTCTGGGTCTGGCTCAGTGCGCTCATGTGATGAACCTTCAACTATCCTCACTGCCATCATCAACCACCTTCAGAGCAGCATCCAGGACGGTATGGACAACAGAGCTCGTCATCACTCCTCAGTAGGGCACACACATACAAACTTCAGTTGTTTCCATAACAGAGTACACCTAAGCAGGACTGAAGATCGTTTACCCTCAGTGTTTTCACTAATGACCTCCTAAAAAATTCTAGAAATCAGTGTATGAACCACTGAGTCTGACGATGTGATGACAGTGTCTACCTTTATATCATTGCATGGTGTAAATGGACGTGTTCAGAGAGCAACAAAGAACATTCGGGCCAGCAAAAACATAACGCAGCGTCTCTTAGTGCACAACGATTGCACAGGTCGTTTGCTGGTCACAGGGTATACATGTCATCATAATAATTTCCTGCTGCTTAACACATCAACTCACCCCAACTTCACGTGGAAATTTTACTTGAGGGCTGGTAGGAACATTTTGGAAAAAGCTCAGGTGACAAAAATGGCTGTTTGGGTTCACAAAAGCAGCTCACCCCAAAAATGTGGAGACATTTCCTGGAGTTTGGTGCATGTGTGCTTTCTTCATTCATGTGTCAAGTAATAGATACATTTTTTTTTACTTTTTTTAATTAGATTTTGATTAACTCTTATGTATTAAATTGACATAAAAAAAAGAGAAACACTGTGTTTTACCATTATTGTCACACAGTCCAGTATGAGACTATTGAGCTGCAAAGGGGCCGCACCATTGTTCATAAGTCTGTGTCATAAATGAAGACAGATGCCACAGATTGGATTTCAATATAAAGTGGAGAAAATGTCTACTGTGCTGGTTTTTATAAGGATTTGAGACTGAAAAGCATATCAATAGGTGAATGGTTAAACTCGATATATCAAACTAGGTCTTGTCATCCCTCGCAGACAAGCTTTCGGGGGAGAGGGTGAAGCAGGTGATGGAGCATATTTGGAAGTTCCAGGAGTTCTGTAACAGCATGTCGAGGTTGGACACGGACAGCTACGAATATGCCTACCTGAAAGCTATTGTATTGTTCAGCCCTGGTGAGTCCTACTCAAGTTCATAACAGACATAATTACTTGTACTCAGTCAGTAAATATTAAATCAGCCCACCTGAAGGGGGCAATACATGACCTGGTTTGGGGTTTGGGATTGTGTCTGTCTTGTCAGATCATCCAGGTGTGGACGGCAGCGGGCAGATTGAGAAGTTCCAGGAGAAAGCTTTGATGGAGCTGCAGGACTATGTGCAGAAAACCTATCCAGAAGACACCTACAGGTGCACTCACACCTCCAGTGTGTATGATTCAAAGCCAGCTTCAATCCAGTACATGTACCAGTAAAGAATGGTATCGATACCGATACTTAAAGATACTCTTATAGATACTCTTATCAATACTACTCTAAAATAAAGACATGACATAAACAAATCAAATTAAATAATTCTCTTTACTGCTTCAACACCTGAACACCATACTGCCAAACATGAAATATATATCACTTGAAATGTCACCCTAATAACAGAATTACATTTATGTTTATGTTTCAGAGAAAGTTTTAACACTGTAGAAATGTATGCCATTTTCAATACAATCCCCAGACAGTTTAAATAACCTTTGAAACAGCATTCAAACTCTTATTGTTGTACGTTGTTTCATTCTTCTTTATTTAATTATGCTATTAATAGTCTACAATGCGCACTGGGATGCATCACATGATACGTCAGAGCTTTTCTTAGTCACAAAAAACTCTGATGTGTTAAAGGGAGATTGTCATTTTACTGAGACCAAACATGCCAGGGTGCTGAATATTTACCTAATAACAGGCTATCACACTCTCCACCAGGCCGAGGAGGGGGAGGGGAGGGGGGTCGCAATCATGTGTGGACCAAGGAGCTGATGTGACATAAAAAAAATGTTAAACCTAAAGCCTGATGTTCATCTGTAGGTAACAACCCTCAGGTGTATCACTGAATTGAATGAACAGCATCTCTCTGACACCAACACTTAAAAAGTTTTAACCTCTTTCACAGACTTTCTTTTTCGATAAACATTCTCATGAGTTATATAATTTCCAAGCATTGGAGCCTTTAATAACATCTTATTCTGAAAATAAGTTGATCAAGAATTTCTTTGCATTAATAGTTATTTGTTTATTTTCCCAGATTGACTCGTATTCTGACTCGTCTCCCAGCACTTCGCCTCATGAACTCGAGCATCACAGAGGAGCTCTTCTTCACTGGCTTGATCGGTAACGTGTCTATTGACAGCATCATTCCCTACATCCTCAAGATGGAGACGGCTGAGTATAACAGCCAGGACTCTGACCCTTCAGAATGACAACCAATCACTTCGACACTCCAGCACCCAGAACTTTCAAATGAGTGAGTCTCCACTTCAGGTACGCTGTAAGTCTCTCATAGGGTTAACTGTTGAACCCAGGTCCAAATACCTGCAGGGGACCCCTTGTTTTCCTACAATACATGGTGCATAGTCATTCAGGAATCCCTACATGATTAAAAAAAAAAAAGATATTCTGGTATTTGAAATCCAGTATGACACTTGGAATGTTTTCTGATGCTCAGGCAGTTCAGTCATCTTGTGTTTTGGGCCTAAACTGGGTAACTCTGAGCTGAATTCAAAACAGGAATCCTCTGCAGCTTCATCTGTACTCATCCCCTTGATGTTTTTAAAGCACTTACAAAGCCTTATCATGCTCTCATGTCGACCAAATTCATAAATGATCTTAAGTTTATTTCAGATATCAGATACATTTGAATGATAATAAAAACCTAATAGAAATCTTAAAAAGTCAAAGTATAACTGCATCTTTTTAAAAAGCAGAATCTGATAAAATAAAGTACTAACTCTTAGGTGTTTTAAACTGTTAAGGATGTTCTAGTGTTGGTATTTGGGAACATGAGTGCATCAGTATAAAGTGGTATTTCAATGACAGTGATTTGGTGTTGACAATTGAGGCTGTTACAGAGACCACTTGATGCTCTTCTGAATGTCATACTGCAAAGAATTGAAGACTGCTTGGCATTATTTTCTTATTTTTATGTTTTCAAACTGAACAGGACTGATGACTGAACTTCCTAGGAGATAAAAGCGAATGAGCTACAGTTCTTCAGGTTGAATAAAAATACAATCATGGTTTGAATGACAACTGTCATTTTATACAACAACTTAATTTAAACCTGAATTATCAAACCCTTTCCATTTGAATATGGAGTAACATTGGCAAAGCTTTGAGCTACCACCAAGCCCGTTCTTAGCTCATGAGAACATGACAAACTTCAGAGGCCTGTGCTTGGAGGTCAGCGGGGTCACTTCAGGGTCAAATCTGGGCACTACGAAGGTCGCTCACTTCTTACTGGGGAGGAGATGACCACGTTAACTCGTGCTAAACACCTAGGCTGCAGGTCATATTGGGAATAAGAGATCCATTTTTTGTTTCCTGGACAATTTAATTTGAAGATATCCATGAAAGATTGACATGTGCTTCCCTGATAACAACAGAGACTTATAACAGGTTATGAAATATAGTGACACACTTATGATGGAGAGATATTATAAGCCTTTAAGTCTCTCTAAGTCATTCATATTTCTGCTCTAAGTATGTAACATATTGCTATCGGTTGACAGTAGACTTATAGTTAATAACCAGCTTTGTGTTAGCTCTAAGCGTGACCTCCTTTTGTTATGGTTGGTGTAGCCGGATAAGAAAAGCACTTTCTGCATAGTACAGGCCTCTGATGTCATTCTGTCTTAAAGTTGAACTTCTAACTCACACTCACAACGTCATATCTGCCAAAGTAACCCAAAAAATACGCTAACCCTTTTCATTTTTTGAAACATCTTTAAGTCTTGGAGTGTTATGATGTGAAGGTACTCTTATATATCGATATTATAGCCATTAAGTTGCTAATCACCAGTGCAATCACCTCATCACTTTCCCCCGTATGACAATCATTATATGTTACTTCCTTTTGTCCCATTGTTGTCATAACTGTCTGCTTAATCTTCATTTTGTATGTGTTATCAATATCAGTTATTTCCTTTAAGGCATAAGGTAATCTCGAAGGTTTTTCTTTCAAAATGTTACTAGTGTGTAGCTCTGCTACTGTTTTTGTACTTGTGTTTGTATTTGCTATTTGCTAAGTGCACATCGATCAGCTTATCTGACATTCCTTTATGTTCATGCTGACTAAAACCTTTCTGTTTGTATGTTTTCTCATCATTTATAATTTGTTGTGAACAAATGTGTTTGTTACATACAAAGTGTACTTAAAGTACTTTCAGGCAGGTTTCCCTGATATAAAAAAAAAGACAAATGATGGGAGCTGGTCTCAGGTGCACTGATGTCTTGAAGACTGAAGTCATACACTGATGTGTATCGGCCTACCCACTAGTGGAATGGTTTAAAATGAGCATCCACACCAACATGAATGATGGGGGATGTAAGCAAGGAGTGTGTCTTGTGTGAAATGGTGTGTGTGTTATTTGGGTTTGCAGCCCACACAGACTGTTTAAGGCGCTGTCATGAAATGGCCTTCGTACATGTAATTTCATCAAAATGAGTGCATGTTGTTTTTAAGCATTTTATATACTTGTTGCTGTCTGCCCTTATAAGGAGCATTGTTATCTTTTTGTAGTGCATTTCAGTGCATGACGTTTCTTAAGTGCATTTTAAATGATGTATGAAAATTTTTATTTTAATTTGATTGTTGTGGCTTTAAGTATTTACCGTGAGCAGCTCCTAAACTGCAGATCAGATGAGATTTTTCCAGCTTTGTGGATTTAGTATCTTATGTTTAACATTTTATACTATGTTAATATACCTTGTCATTTTTTTTTTGCACATGTCAAGTATGATCCTTCAAACATTGAACAACATTCAAACAACATTCATGTTCCGCTCAAGTTTGTCACAACCCTACATTTCTACCTCAAAGTGATAAAGATATGAAACAAATGTATGAAAGACTGAGCTTCTGTATCAGCATTCTAGTCTCTGAGGCGGGCTTCTCTGAAGCCACACATTCTGACAGAAATAAACAATTCATAGTGAAATATTCTACGGCTGTGTCTCTTAATGCTAGGAAGACAAGGTAAGAAGAGTGTCCCTGCGTAACGTGGATTCATGCCTCAGCGAGTCTAGCAGGGACTGAGAGGTACAGTGTATATTAAATAAGTTTATGTGAGGGTTCAAACATTGAGTAATAAACTGCAGTAAAGTTTAATGGTTCAAAGTCTCCACTATAAATATAAAACCTACGTGAACCTCTACAGCTTGTTGTTACACAAAGGGTAAAAAAACACAGGATCATTATAATAAGCATCAAAAAGTGGATGACATCACTATCATCAACCAGACTTGGATTAGCAACTCAACTTCTTTGAAGATGATCTTCTTTCCAGTACATTTCGGTCATTTAAAAGCATGGCTTGTGCTCCAGTGGGAGGAATCCAGACCAAAAAAGCACCCTGCACAGGAAGGTTCTGGCCAGGGTTAGAGTCCTGGACCAGCAGGCTGTAAAGGTAGAGTGCTAACCACCACATAAACTGTGCTGACACACTTCCTCGTCTAGGTTAATTTACTTTCCTGTACGTCGTCGTATTTGAAAAGCTTGGCTCATACTTTTTGCGGGAATAAGCTAGAACGTTCAAGCTTGAAAACATATTGGAGAAGACTTAGAAGTGTGCCTGTGCCAAGAACAACCAAGACAAAGGTTTAGACATCGACATAGACGAGAGATACCTACGGAGCCCCTTAAGTCCCAAAAAGTAAAATCAAATATATTGTGCGTGCAAGATAATTCTATACATGTCATTCATCCACTTAAATATTATAACTGTGGTTGGCTGATGGTGGATGAAACCATTTTGCATCCAATCTAAATGATCATTGTCACATGTATCTCAGTTTAGCTTTTTTAAACAGTCCATCCACTACTTTCTATAAGTAGACTGCTTCTCTTCAGAAATAACCCTGACACGTCAGAGATCATAAGGGTTCAGAAGAAAAGGGTTCCAGTTCTTGTGTGCTTTCTAAAAATCCTGAGCTTCAATGTAAACGACTGTCGAAGAAGTCCTGAAAGTCCAGACCTGCAACAACCAATGAAGACAAGCCACATGTTTGTTTGTCTTTTGTTTTTAATGAGGATCATTTTCTCAATCGATTGTAAAATAGCAATTAAAAACTTTTTTTTTTTTTTTTAGATTCTGGTATTTACATATAAACAAAAGGCTGTGCAAAATGTACAAGGCATTGGCAAGAAAGCGTCATATAAGTCTTATTTCTCCTACCACAGATATATATTCTATATATTATATTAAAAAGTAAGACAAAGTATCACACTTCTCAGCCTTCCGGGGAAATCTTACTCTAGGATGCTGGAAAGGAAGCTCCGGCCGATTATCGAACCTCGGATACAGGAGGAACAATGTGGATTCCGTCCCAGCTCTTTACCCTCGCAGGGCTTCTTGGGGGAGCATGGGAGGGTTTCCAGTTTGGGGACCTCAAAATCTTGTCTCTGCTTTTTGCAGATGACGTGGTTTTGTTGGGTTCCTCAAGCTGGGACCTCCAGCAGGCATTGGGGCGGTTTGCAGCCGAGTGCGAAGCGGCTCGGATGAGGGTCAGCACCTCCAAGTCAGAGGCCATTGTTCTCTGCCGGAAAAAGGTGGATTGCTCTCTCCTTGCCCCAAGTGGAGGAGTTCAAGTATCTCGGGGTCTTGTTCACGAGTGAGGCTAGGATGGAGTGTGAGATTGACAGACGGATTGGCTCGGCGTCAGCAGTAATGCAGGCGTTGTGCCGGACCGTTGTGGCAAAGAGGGAGCTGAGCCTGAAGGCAAAGCTCTCAATTTACCGGTCGATCTATGTTCCAACCCTCACCTATAGTCATGAGCTATGTAGTGACCGAAAGAATGAGATCACGGATACAAGCGGCCGAAATGAGCTTCCTCTGGAGGGTGGCTGGGCTCAGCCTTAGAGATAGGGTGAGGAGCTCGGAGTAGAGCCAGTTGAGGTGGTTTGGGCATCTGTTAAGGATGCCTCCTGGACGCCTCCCTTTCAGGCACGACCAACTGGGAGGAGACACCGGGGCAGACCCAGAATGCGCTGGAGGGATTATATATCCTGTCTAGCCTGGGAACGCCTGGAAAACGTTGCTGGGGAGAGGAAAGTCTGGGCTGACTTACTGCGCCTGCTACCACCGCGACCCGACCTCGGATAAGCGGAGGAAAATGGATGGATGGACAAACGTGCCCGATTAGTAGCTGTGACCTGATACATCTACAAAAAGCAAATGTCAGTATGTTCAGCAGATAATCAGTCTTTCATTTGACAACAAAAATGTATTCAAATCAAAATAGGTATAAAAAGATAAAAAAACAAAACAAAAAAGTTATAAATTGGTTGTTTCCATCGATCGACCTGTTCTTTAAAAGCTGATCTGTCAATGTGCGTTCCTCGTTCTTCATTTCATGCCGATATTTCCCCAACATGAACCTCATCTTTCATTCATATAAAATTATGGACACACAACTTATTGACATGTTCTGATTCACATAAATCTCTACCATCTGTAACATCATTGGTATTCTTATATCCAAGCCCTCTTTTTAAAAATCATATTATGATTACAACATCCTAGGTTTGATTTTCTTAAGATATACAAGGCAGAGAAAAAAAAAAACAATTACACTATAATGTGTCCGACAAAGCAACCACACACGGTAAACATCCTTGCCTAAAGTGACTGGAATATGGCACACTCTTCTCTGTTATCTCTTATCGTAGGGTAACGACAGTGGCTGCTGCTGAGAGGATGTCAACTCAGTCAGAAGTGGAATCTCTGTAAGTTGAATTTGACTTTGTCCGTCAAGACATGATTCTTGAAACCAGGACGTTTTGTCTGCAGTAGAGAGGATTAGTCGGAAAGTATCTGCAGCCTTCATGTTCAATATGCTAGAAAATCTGAATAAATGTGGAGTTCCTCTTACAGGCATCGTGTGAGGGACTCTCACTGAAGTAGTGATACTGCAGCAAGTACTCAAACACCAACCACTGTGGTTAAATCATGCACAAAAAGCACCTTTTTTTGGATTCCTATGAAGCAATGACAGAGAGAGAAATCATGTAATACAAAAATAAAGCACACATCCTGATGTGGAGAGAGCCGTTAGAAAAGAGGACATTACGGCTAGGTTTCTGCTCTATATGGCTTGATTTGGTAAGAAGGCAACTCAGCACATGAGAAGAATTTCAAGGTTAGTCTCTGTAAAAAAGAAAAACTCTGACATTTAAACTTTGCAGAAAAATACAACAAACATGTAATATATTAAACTCTCAGTTAAGGAGTTAAGTAGAGAGCTTATGTAAAAAAATAGTTAATACTGCAGTTTGTGTGAAATCATCTAGTTCAGTTAAAAGCAGTTTCGCTTGTGTGCAGGAATGAGGCAGTGCCTGATTAAAGTGTAGTCGGGGGCGACTGGTCTCTAAAAAGGCAAAGCATCAGAGCCGAGTTCCAAAAGTTCCTCCATCTTTTGCCCCAAACATACCGAAGGCCTGTGCTTCAGGAGGTTTTCCAAGTTCCAAGTGAATCTCTTCCCACTTGTAAGTCAGGGGTCTACAGAAGGTACCTGCAGCAAGGGGTCTGAGCTGACACTGCTTCCTTACAGCCACCAAGGGAGGCGAGTCATTTTACACCAGGGTGCTATTTGAGGAAGCATTTATAGAGCAGGTGTGAATGACTGGTCTCTCTTTCGTTCTCCATGCAAAAGAGCAGGTCCTTGAGGTTGACTCTGGTAATTCTCTGTCGTGTAAACTGTCTGGAGCCTGATCTGCTGGATGCTCCAGGCTGGGAGGGGCCTGATCCTGAGCCCTAGTGTGTAAGACAGATCACAAAAAGAAAAAAAAAGAAAAAAATGTGACAAGTCTTTTCCTGTAAGTACATTTGAAATAAACGTCCCATACTCCTCACCTCTGCGCTGGCACCCCTAACTGGAGAGTCCATTTTCCGTTTTTTCCTTGGGCCGATTGCTGCCAGCGCTGTAAGGTTTGCTTCCCTCTGTCTTATCTGAGCCAGCTCCTGCTGCTGCATCTGGAATACAAACATTAGCACACGGATTAATCTCATATAATAAATGCCACACAGAGCAGAGTCACTTATCATTGCAATGCACTTACTGTACCTCTTTGGCTTTCTGTTTAAGTCTGAGCTGCTCTGGGTCTTCTTGCCGTGACCGAGACTACGGTGAGGGAGAAGACATTTGAATGTGTCAAGACGATCCATTTAATCAATCTTTTTTCCATTCACTCTCTTATGAAGAAGATCTATTCTCTTTAGACAACAGTAGAGGAAACGTTACTAATGACCTTACTTTCCTTGTCCATGCAATTTGAGATAGTGTGCAAGATTCTCCCTGCCAATGATGAAGCGTGTTTTGTTATGTTACCTTGGCAGCCTTCAAGAGAATCTCCCTCTCCTGCTCTTCCTTCCTTTGCTTCTCCATCTGATCCAGCTGCTCGAAGAATTTAAGCTGTGCTCGCACGTCACTGACCTGCTTGTACCGCTCGTCCTCCTGTGGGATGAATAAAGATCAAAGAATGTAATCACACTCAAAGGCAATGGGTCTGAACTGCTCTCAAATGCCTGTATTTACTAATCACCTTGAAGGTCATGTTCTTTTGCTGTGCTACTTGTGACACCTTTTCCAGCAGGTTTTGTAGCCGCTGCTGTGTAGCATAAGAAATGTAGTTTATCACATCTGAACCCAGCTCGCTGACACCGAACTTCTTACCTGTAACAAAATGTGGGGAAACAAAAGATGGAAACAGTTATACATGGGCTTTAGTGGCAAAAAAAAAAAAAGGCAGATCTTTTAAGATTGTATTGATCTCACCGATCCCTAGGGCTCTCTGGGTGAGCAAAGAGGTGGAGAGAAAGCTCTCATCCTTACAGGAACGTGTCACTGCACCTACAAGCTCCGAGTTGGTTGCTAAGATGCGGGCGCTCTCTTCCGACAAGTTGACTCCAGCCATGGACGCCACATCATTGATATCATCATCATCCCTGGATAACAAAATGTAAAAGTCACAAGACATACATGAACATCAACTCAATATAAACCTTGTTGCATGTAGAATGGAAATCTTAGATTTTCGGTTATTACAAAATAAATCCCAATACTTTTGATTTGCTGTCGTCTTAAAACCCCAAAACAGATCATCAGTACTGAGTCTGACCACCCTTATGAGAGCAGCAAATAAATATGACATCTGACCAGTATGTGTTTTTATTATAGACAAACCACTACACTATATACATTTTTACTTTTGCAGATCTGTTACTAAGTAAGAAGGAACACATTCCTCTCCAACTTCTGATCAGTCAATAAAAACCTTTATACCTTTAAATTGATTTATCACAAAAATGACTTATCCAACAATTTCAGTACAGGACAGTGGCTACTCCTCAACGGTTTTAAGCAGATGGAATCCAAAGTTTTGATTTTCCGTTCAAGAAAAGGAAAAAAAAAGATTGATTAATTTGTAAATTACTTTATTTGCTTTCTGTCTTAGACTAATCATTGTTTCAAACTAATTGTTCCAGCGCTGAATATATGCAACACAACTAGAATCATTTGAAATGGATGCAGTTCCATGGATCAAATATTTAAAGCATTATATGGCCTTTCTGTACATGGTTGTTCAAAGGCAGTGGTCTTTTAGTCCTTATATTTAAAGTGGCATTGTTATTTTAAAATCTGAGTTCTTTTTAGTACTAGTAGCACTAAACACAAAAACAAAACAGTCTTCTGGTGTTCTGAAAATATTAAACTATGGATCTTTAACCGTCTAAAACGCTGGCTATCTGGAGAACAGGACTTCAGATGCACGGGAGATATTCATCTGAAATGGTCACATACCTAAAGGTTCCACCTCCTGTTTCCTTCTGCTTGTGATTCTGAGCAACAGCCAGTGCAGACTGACTGACTATTTGTACCACCCCTTTGACACCTGGAGCCAACGTCTGCTTCACTCCTGGAGGAAACAGAGGAACAGAGACAGAAAAACTTTTTTTTTTTTACATCTTTGTGTCAATTTAAGAGGAATTATTCTAAGTGACTGTAAATAATGTTGTGCATATTTTGTTAAAAGAGCAACATGATGGGAATCTGATTAAATGATGCAATCACATCAAATATCCACAAGATGGCAGCACTAGCTTTTTTTGTTTTGCCTTGACTTTGCATTTATTTTAAATAAATCTGTCTGTCCACAGACACCCATTGGACATTTTATGATCTATCAAAAGAAGAAAATAAACTACAACATTAAGAGCATTAGTCTGATTTTACATGTCTATTGAGAAACAATAAACAGCCTACTGAGTTCATTGATGGGCAAAACAAATGAGTGTAAGTGACAAATAAACACACACACCTGCGTGCAGCTGTTTGACCACCTGTGGCTGGCTCACAATGATTCGGTTGTGAGGCTGTCCTCTGAGCGTTACCATGGGAGACTGAGCTAGTGTCATCTGAGGCCTCAACACGGTGCCCTGTTGCTGGGGGACTATCTGTGCACATTTAAGGACAACTAATGAGAAACAGAATTAAAGCACAGCCCAAAATAAAAAAAACCTCTTCTGTGAGCATGCCAGTGACTGAATTCAGGTAATCATCTAGCTTCAAAACTTACCAGTCCGGGTTTACTGTGAGTTGTCTGAGTGAGGTTGATGACTGTGGTTTTGGTTGCAGCGGCGCTGGTGGTGGTAGTGGCAGCTGTGGAGAGAGGAGGTCGGAGCACAACAGCAGTGAGGGCGGTGGAGGCTGCTGTGGTAGGCTGACTGCTGGGCTGAGGTGGCAGGCTCTGCTGGATGAAGGCCTCTGAGTCTGGGGTCAACTGACGCAGTGCTGGGAGGCTTCTCTGCAGGCGGAAAAGGACAGAAGGAGTTCAAACTGGGTGCATGAAACATGATGGGGAAATTAACCTACCTCTCAACTGATTCATTACAACAGTTAACATTGTTTTTGAGTTAATACTCTCAATAGCTAGATTACAGTTTTTTCAATAGAGCATTATCATCTTGAAAATTATGACCTCATTTGGGGGTCCCCGCCTGAGGATAGAGATGTAATAATGTGTAATAATGCCACCCTCTCTTCCAAATGTGGTTCCAAAAAACACGATGGGAAAGGCTAAAATGCAAGAAAGAAAGTTGTGTGATGGTGGGATTGCTACAGTCTGGTTGCAAATAAACTCAGTTTGGTTTACAGAGGAAGAAAGTCTGAGTTTACACGGCCTGAACATGCAGCATCATCTGCATATCTGCTACTATGCGGCTTGTCTCACCTTGAGGAAAGGCACAAGGTACGGCTGTGGTGAGGAGTTGAGCTCCCGGTATAACCTACTGGTGAAATCTTCAGGCTCGAGCTTTGCTTCCTGTTTAAGAATATGCACAGAGACGTGGATCAGAATCTAAAATAAGGAACAAAACAAACTGAAGGAAAGAGACAAAAGCCATAAAGATGAGGACAGAGGGATCAAGTTTAAAATCAGAGATTGAGAGAGTGAAAGGAAAGGAGATTGAAGAGGTGAGACATTCACCAGCAGGTTCTTGACCAGCTCCTTTACGTTGGCCGTGGTCTCAGACGACTGTTTTCCACTTGATGCCAGCTTGATCAATGTAGACAGAAAGTTTCGACACTTTTTTACATTCTCCAGTGTCTCCTGCAACCAAAACAAGATTGTATTTATAATCATGCACATCAGATATATGGTATCCTTGTAGATAGCTTTAAAAGATTACAAAGAGAACAGCACTCAAGGTTAGTAATTCTCTCTTACAGCGGTGACAGCTATTGGAGTGACAGGGGTCCCAGTGGCTGCAAGCGACCCTACCCTCTGTGTAACTGCTGTGGCTGCAGAACCGGGCTGCACTGTGCTGGGCGTGACGAGCGTCTGTCCTGGAGTGGTGGCACTTCCTCCCAGCATCATGGTGTTCTATAAAAGTCAGTGGATATGCAGTCGTGACATGAGGCTACGGACAATGACAAGGTCAGAATAACAGTTTTGACATGTCTGCTCCAGGGGCACAGTACACAGTCGACTTTATTACCAACACATTTTCCCCCAGGCTTATAATATCAACAGTCCTTGATATTGTTCCAAAATGTATAAAACATTTAACTCTTGCAAACTTTTGTGACTGCTTTGTTCCCCTCCTGATTAAACTTTTTTTTTTTTCGTTCACAATTTTTTGCACTCAATGTCATGATGAAAGACTAAGGTGAGTGAGGCAGCAATGGAGGGCTAACATGTGAGGGTTGGGGAACAGGGGGACAGATGGTCGATGGACTGCTCCTCAGTCCTTTCAAATGATTCAGATCTGCACCAGTATAATGTGTTCAAAGTCAGTGGCAACTACGAGTGGGAACGGTAAGTAATTAACTCACTACACCATCTGAAACAGAAGAAAACAGCCTAGTGTAAGAAATGTGTGGGTCGCTGTATGTTTGCAGAAAACAGCAGTAGCCTAAAAACGGCGGGTAAAAACCATGTAACATTCTGTAAGCAGCATCGAATTGATCAAGTTGTAAATTGAATGCAGAGTTGTGTCAGGCCAAATGGCCAAACCCTAATCCACTTCTTCAGAAGAGAAAGTTGAAAATGTATCTACTTAACACAGAGGCTGTAAGGTTTTTTATTACATCTTTTGAAACATATTTTATGACTTGAGAATATATTTAATCCAGAAGAATTACTCTGAAAATCTAACGTGTAGCCAATGGATAACCTGTTTCATTCAAAGCACATGGTTTGCCTGAGTTTAGTCTGCCAGTTAAAGTACGAGGTCTTGACAAATAGGAAATTCAATGAAAGTTTTCTCTCATTTTGCTTGACAACATCATACACTGCACAGAAGATTAAATACATAAAAAGGTACATGTGTTTGGAGTTACCTGCAGCACCGGAGGCCTCTGCAGAGTGGTAGTGGCTGTTACGCTGGTTTGAACTGGTGAGGCTTGTTTAATAATGGTCATGGGGGTTACTGGACGAGGAAGCAGAGATGTGCCTGGAGCCTGCAGAAGAGAGAAATTTAGTTTATTACCATCAATTCTCATTTTGGGCAGTTCTATCCATCGCTGTGCTTATTATTAAAGTTGATGCAAAAGTCTACAAAAGTTTAATAAAAATAGTATATATGCAAACAAAAAGTATTACTGGTACATCAGACTGCATGCTTAAGTGTATCAGAATGACTTGGTTGTGGGGCACTGGTGGCGCAGTGGTTAGTGCGCGCGCCCCATGTATGGAGGCTGTAGTCTCGAGCGGGCAGCCCGGGTTCACATCCCACCTGTGGCTTCTTTCCCGCATGTCCTTCCCCACTCTCTCTCTCTGATTTCCGACTATATCCACTGTCTTATCTCTCCATTAAAAGCATAAAAAGCCCAAAAATAAATCTTGGAAAAAAAAAAAAAAAAAAAAAGAATGACTTGATTGCTACAATTTGTCACATAAATATATACAAAATGATTGAATTTCTTTCAGAATAACAATAATGACAAGAAAAAGGGATTTAAAGGGCCCCACTCAGATCAGGAGAGTAGCAGTTCTATTAAATTAAGTGATTTTACACCTAAATGCTGGTATATTATATCACTGCTCTGCATCACAACCTAACATTGAAGGTCCCATTTACAAAGTGTCTATGTGTCCAGCATTTCAGGTACCTTCAGAGAGTTGATCTGGAAAGGTGGAGTGCTGGTCGGGGCTGCTGGTCGTGGTGTCATGGCACTTTGGGACTGTGACTGAGCCTGCATCTGAGCCAAGGTCTGCTGGTGAATCATAAGCAGCTGCCCGCTCTCACTGCGGACCAGAACCATGCCTGCAAGAGGCAAACATCAGGGGGAGTAGTCGAAAGTCATGGCTTTTCTGTTCAGCAACAACAATATACTGCATGTATGCACAGAGTTTCTAACATGAGTAGGTATGTATTATTTATCTGTAGGTCTATTGACGCATTGGTTTAACCTCAGCTAAGAGGTGACCAGTCAGGCCAACATGAGTTAGAAACATGATGTCATGTAACAAGATCTTGTCAGTACCTCAGCAGACTCTTTTTTTCTGCTGATCATAATTTGTTTTGGTACGTGTATTAGAAGACACAGTAACCTTGTGTCATAGCCAATTCTTCATTAAATAGGTAACTGGATGTGTGATAAGCACTGGGGCTTCCTCACATAGTGATACTATGGTCTACAAAAAAAGACATAGTGAGTTACAGAGAGCTCTGACAGGAAAAGTAAGCCGCAAAAGTGACCTTTTTTGGCTGAGTTGTACATAAACATACAAATAGCACACATGCTGTTATTGTTAATAGCGTGGCTAAATACCATGCAGTTGACATTAATGTTTTTTATCAATTCTTTCTCATATAGAAAAAAAAAAAGGGGGAAAGGGTAGAACCAAGAGTTAGTAAGATAAATAAAGTCTAACAATTATTAGACAGAAATTGTAAAAATTAACTGTAAACAGCTTTAAATTATGTCAACAGTTTGCTATTGTCTCTTACAAGACAGAGTAATACGAAACAATTAATTGCAAAAATAATGTTATGTTCTAAAGGAGAAATATGCAGTTTTGACTGCACTCCAGACTTTTATTCTGGTTTGCTGTTAGAACCTTGCCCATCTCTTCTCTGTTATTTGTGGACTTTAAAGACAATCAACTACGCTTACTGCTGCTGTCTAAAACCCACAGCTTGTCCATAAACACAGGAGCACCTGAAACCTGCAGCCTGACACCGCCATAAGAGACAACCCAATAAGTAACATGGGAGATAAAAAAAATAAAATAAAATAAAATAAAAAAATACAGGCGCTCTTAATTTGTTAACTTTACTCAAAGTTACCTGGAGGGAGCTGAATGTTCTGGATGTTTGGGGCGTTTTGTTGAGTCTGAGTAAGTCTTGGGGCCAACACCTGAGGGGCAATAGCTCGTATTCCTGCGGGAGGAGCGGCGGCGGCGGCGGCGGTAATGGTTGACGGAACTGAAGTCCTCAAGTTCTGCAGAACAGTAGAGCTCCTCATGGTCCCTGCAGCAACAGTGGAAGCCACTTTGTGTCCACTCGCGTGAAACACAGTTTTTGAGGTGTCGAGTTTGTTCACTGAAGGGCCCGTCGTGCTGGTGACGCTGACGGCTGGTGACGTCAGAACTGCCCCGGGGCTCCCTCCGCTTCGCGAGGTGTTAGTAGTAGTAGTAGGAGTTTGCATAGGCGGCCTCGCAAGAGTGACCGTCGGTTCACTTTTCACAGAGGATACGACAGCAGTGTGAAGACTCGCGGGAGAAGAAGTTCGAGTAATAGTCGGAGGCGCCGCGGGCAAAACTGCCGCGTGTCCGTTGTTTACAAGCGTGGCGGCGGGCGGCTGAGCGCTGCTGTCAGCGGGACCTCCACCGGGGGGATGACAGCTCGTCACCACGGCACTGCCATTCAAAGTCTGCAGCGCATTCGCTCCAGTCGTAGCATCGGGAGACACCGTTTCGACTCCGCCTGCTGCTGCTCCCGTCTTGGACTGACTCTGACCGGCTGTCAAGCTCGGTCCCGCCGCCGACGTGGTCCCGGCTGCTCCATCCCTGTTAGAATCAAGGGAACCCGTACTGCTTATGACACCTCCATGCGCTCCTGAACAAATGAAAACTAGTGGGTATCGAGCAACTCTGCTTTTTTTTTGCATTAGTTTCAGGACACTCAAAGTAAAGCCAAGTAAGGTACTATTAGTTAAAGAAACGTGACCAAAATCAGCTAACGTTAGCAAAACGAGAGTGGGCAGCTGCCTTACCTGTTTTGGCAACCTCTTGTTGTGAAAGTCCCATTTTGCTTCTCTGCACATTTGCACACGCGTTGCTTAAAACAGCGACGCTGCTGACGTGATTTTCTGCACACTGAGTTGACGCGGAGTTGGCGTTGACGCGACCCGCTTCGGTCACGCTGCTCTCCGCAGAGCCGACCGTGTCCTCCCCAGCTACTTTCTCGTCCGCCGCCGCGTCGAGCAAAACATCGCCCAGCAAATCGGAGTCCGCCGCCATCTTTTTGCCCAGTTACGCTCGCTCGTTAGAACGCATGCGCCGATTGGATGCACCGTCGGTGACGTGGCCTCGGAGGCTGTGATTGGTCACTACAATAAACATAAACATTGGGAGTTCCGAGCTGCTGCGCTGCTGAATCAACCATCGCCGTCAGACTGGACGGCTGCTTCTCTTAGTGGGATATTGGCACAGCAATAGAGATTGTTATATGTTCTGAAAACATGTCTTTGATTATTCACAGTATTGCTGCATATTTTTCAATTATTTTTCGTATCGTAGACAACTCAATAAGGCAAAGAGTTTTTGCTATGAGTTGTAATAGCCTATCATTTCACTTAAGAAGACATTCCCCGCCGAATAATCACCAACACCTTCGATTATAGCCTACTATCAGACATCATCAATCAAACACGAAAAGAGTCATCGAGACAGACGCCTGGTAGTTAATCAGATGAACAGGTGCGTTAGTTAGCGGGTCAATCAATGGGCGTGCTTTCAAGTCACCTGCGAACGCCATTAAATAGTTTGGGATACTGTGAATTGAATGCATGGAGTTGATTTGTGTTCTTTTAGACATTAAGCCACCAATTGTTCTTAATATTCTCCAGACATGAGTTTAGCAAAGCCTTGCATTGGCTGTAAAATTGGGTTAATTTCAAAAGCCCAAAATCGTTATGAGGGTATTTTGTACACGATTGATAAAGTGAACTCAACAGTGGTCCTTGCTAAAGGTGAGTTGTGTAGGCATTTGCTTGACCGGATAGCATCATAATTTAAACACTATTGTCACATAATAAAACCTTCTTTGTTTTTTTTTTTGTTTTTTTTTTCAACTAGTCAGGTGTCTGGGAACCGAGGGACGACCCACTGACAGGCCAACACCACCTAAAGATGATGTCTATGAATACATCACTTTCCGTGGAAGTGATATTAAAGATATCACTCTGTGTGAACCTCCAAGAACTCACCATGGCCTTCCCCCAGATCCTGCAATAGTACAGGTAGGTTTATACAAGAACTCCATGGTTTAGATAAACATGAAGTGGAATAATTGTGTCTAGATAATGTCTCTTGGATTGTATAGTCATCCCTTGCAGGGTCTTCTGGAGTCTACCCATCTTGTGGACCATTTAGTCCTGCAAGGATGCCCGCCTACAACCAGCTTGCTGCCAGCTCTCTTCTTAATCAGCAGTATGCTGCAGCTCTTGGCCTTGGTAAATCAATTAATTCAGATGTATTCCTATAAACTGACCTTTAACTTACTTGAACCTGGTAGTTAAGTTCTTCAAAGCAGGCTGTTGAAACACATCAGTCATTTATTGCATTTGCAGGACCTATACTTCCAGGTTTACATGTCCGAAGGGGCCCCATGGTGGAAAATCTGTTCAAACCCTCCATGTGGACGGATCCAGGCAAAGGAGAGCTTTGACTACATCCCATGAACAGGAGCAGCGTTGGGAAAGGAGGCCCCCGAGGACCAGACAGGAGAGTCCCCAGACCAGAAGGGGCACTGGAGCCACCAGTAAGTAAAGATAATTTTAGTGATTTAAAGGCAAAATAAAACACTGTTCACTTATTCACCTGAAACTGAGGATTTGGCTGAGCTTTTTGTGAAATTCCAAAATTGTAATTATAAGCAATTCAAAGAGTCATTCTTAATGTTTTTTCTCATATTAAGGGAGGACAGGTCCAGGTTTGCCAAATGCTCTGCATGAGTCTTGGCAGCGGAATAATGAAAACAGGCCGCCACCTAGGAGACAAGGTGAGTGTGGAACACATGTTTGTTAAGTAAATCAGAATTTTGTTGCTAGAAATTAAGTAATATATGGTTAACAGTCAATGCTTTTAATACATATAATCTCAGGACCCCGGAGGCGCAGGAACCGTAGTAGAGGCCAGCTCATGGTGGCTGATGCTCCTTCTGCTATCCTAAAGTTTGAAGAAGACTTTGATTTTGATTCCTCAAATGCTCGGTTTATGAAGGAGCAGCTTGAGAAAGAGGACAAGAGGAATGAAAAGGGTTGGTTCAGCAGCTAGTTACCACAAATATACCAAGATATTCTCATCTTTCTGACACAATTTCTATGTTTAAAAAGTACCGTTTCATTTAATGTTATAGAGATGTTTACTCCCACTTGAAGGGTAAACCCTGCAAGTTTTTGGCATTGCTCAGCCTTTGCATGAAAGGCTTATTCTAGTATCAGGATTTGGTCAGTTGTTTAGTTTATTGTTTCACGCTCATCTTGTTTCACATGTGCAGAGATTTGTTTTGCAATTCAGCACATATTTTCACAGCTGTTTATCTTGGATTTAAATGGGTCACATTTCTGTTAAAGAATATTGCTTGGTAAGTAAGGTCAATATCTAACAAGATCTGGTCTGGGATTCTATAGAACATGAGTTTAAAATATGTGAATTTGTCTTCCTTCAGGCCAATCATCTACTTGTATTGCAAACTTTTTAAGAAACTCATTACATGTTTCTGTCTGCAGATGGAGATCATCAGGTGGAGGAGAAAGAAAAGGAGGCATTGCACTTGACTACACATGATGATCATTTTGGACCAAAATGCTACTATGACAAAGCCAAGTCTTTCTTTGACAACATCTCTTCTGATAAGAAGTTCAGGTAAACTAGTGGCCTCTTTGATTATCAATAATGTACACTTGTACATGGCGCTACAGGCTTGTGCCCTCTTCTTGTGCTTCAGACTAACATGGGCAGAGGAACGGAAGCGCAATCTGGAGACATTCGGGGTCCCGGGACGGTTCCTGAGGGGCCAGGGCTTCAGAGGTGGATACAGTGGACGTAGAGGATGGGGAGCTTCTCAGTCTGCTTACAGAACTGCAGGTGGGCGGCTGTGAAGGTCTGAGTTTGTTATGATGGCACTAAAGCAGACCTGTCTTCAACCTATTGCCCTTTGTATATGATAATCATTCTATAAGCTCTGTCACTGTATAAAGAAGGGTCTTTTCTTGTTGTTGTTTTTTTCCCCTCCTTGAGAAGTTATCCTGCCCCTATATTGCCACTATTTTTATTTGCCCCCATCAATTGGACACAATTTGACTATAAATGCATAGCATGCAAGATGGTCCACTTTGATGCCAATAGTTATTTCCTCCCTCAGAATATTTGCCAGATTATTATTATTATTATTATTTTTTTTTTTTTCAGTTAAAAGGGAAGGGAGTATTTAAGTTAATTTGTTTTTGGTTAATGATATAAATATGTGGCTTTGCCTCTTGGGAGTCCCGAGGCTTATTTGTACTTTTATTTGTGTGGGTGTTGTATACTATAGACATTGTCAAATGAACTAAATTGCGTGTATTTGAAAACTCAAAACTTGTGCATTGCTTAATTCTGTCATATTGAAGCAACAAGTGAGAATAATGTTAATAAACTAAAAATTGCTGATGAACTTGTTAATGCTCTGAGTGAATTTTTACAATACATTGTTGTGTTAGTGTGTGCAGGTGAGAATTGAAAATGGGTGTTGGCATTCATGCATGTTCTGTTATATCCTATTTGTACTTCATGGGTATTCAGTTCCCTTATCTATAGGAAACAGGTGTCCAATATGTAGACGATATCAAAAGCTGAACATTTGGGTTGCTTTAGGTCTTTTATTGAAGGCTAGTGCTGGAAAAGGCTGCAGATGTCAGGTGCATTGTGATATTGTAACAAAGGAGACTTGTACTTGGTATAATAATCGAGCATTCAAATCTCTATGAAGGTCCTTTACAAGAAGTTTTGCAGCCACACGTCACAATTGCTCCAACAATCAGCCTGCACAATGTGGGCTGATTGGCTCTTGTGAATCAAAGGATGCCCCGTCTACAGACATGGAAAGAGGTAGGCTACTCACTGTCCGGGTCATACCAACATTGGAGGGAGAGGGGGGATTTCCCCTCTCGTGAATTAATCCATCTGTCAGTAATTGCATGGAGATAATAAATAATCCTTTCAGAAATACGGTAGGTTATTTACCCTTTAGAGAAATCGGTTTCTTTATTGAAATGTCCTCTCTTCCTGACGAAGAGATGACACGTCCTCCACCCCCCTTCACTTTTCTTTTTTTTGAAATAGACATTCTATATAGCCGAATAGAGTGCTGCCCTCATGATTATAAATATTAGAATAAAAGAAGCGCTTTAATTTTCCCATATGACAAAATGTCGCTGGCATTCTCATCGGCTCGCCCTAGGAGTAAAGGGGAGGTGACACCGCAGACCATTCAGAAGGTAAGGATGTAAATATTTCACGGTGTGCAAGATGAAACATTGTTGTCTGGATGGGAGTGTGCGGTCCGCCGCTAGTGCAATATGAAAGTATAGCCTGTCGTGGATATCAGAAGAAATGGCAACTTGTATTGTAACGGTACAGTCAATTGAAGGTGCGAATCAAACAAAGCCATTACGGTAATTAGGTTTTAGAGCGCTTAGCTAGACGCTTTTTTTTCCCACGCTGCTCTTGTCCTGAAAATATTAACCTAATGTCTTTAAAAAATACTGGCTCGAGGTTTTGTAAATTGTTTCCAAGAAATTTGAACACCATTGTTGTATATGGTGCCATCGTCAAAGAAAGAGTCTCATTAGGTTAAAAAAAAAAGGGTCACCTGTTATGCCAATTAGCAGAAGTTTAGTGTTTAGTTTCAAATATTAAGACAAAACTCTGAGATATATACAAAGCTGCTGCAATAATCCTCGACTGACCCGAGTATTTCAGGTAGACTTAAAAAAAAAAAAAACCGCACTGAGACAAGGACTTTGAAACAATAGCCTGAATAGAAACAGAGAAGCTGCTGCTTTATTTGGCTCCTTTTATGAGGAGAAAAAAAAAAGTGACCCAGATAAAAATGTTATTAGGCTGGCTGAAGTTCTGAGAATCCAGGGCAGCATCAATTCAATGTCTTAATAGGACATTTTAAACTGTATGACTCACTATGCACTGTGACTCAGTGAATCATGCACACACTACATTACTAAAGTTGTGATGTTGTTTCCCCAAAGATGCTGGATGAAAACCACCATTTAATACAATGTATAATGGACTACCAAAGCAAAGGAAAGACAGCTGAATGCACACAGTAAGTGTCCTTTTTTTAAAAATTCTATGTAAATGGATCATTCTGGTAACAGAATTATGCTATGTTTTATTTTCCCTTTTTAACAGGTATCAGCAGGTCCTGCACAGAAATCTTGTTTACTTGGCCACAATAGCAGATTCCAATCAGAACATGCAGTCATTACTACCTGCTGTAAGTCCTTTGGCAAGTCAAAAAACATGGATTTCAATGATTCACTTGAATTTGATTTGTTGTACGTCCTCTCGCGACACCTTTAAGAAGCAAATATTCTGAACATCTATTTTGAGAGCAGACTTTGTGGCAGACTGTTTTACATGTCAGAGAAAACACACACTTATTTAGTCTATTGATAAATATATACAGGTAGACCAAACAGCAATTAGGAAAGTTTACAAATATAGTTTTAATTGACCTAATATCATTTTCCTTCTAGCCTCCATCAGCCAATATGTCTATAGGTCCTGGAGTGATGGGGCAGAGCGGGTCACATGCTCCAAGCAACCTCAATGACAACATGGCACCAGGGCTTCCTCCCACATCAATGATGCAGAGCCAAATAAGCAATGGTATGATCTTAACTCAAATGTGGATCTCTTTAGGTTAACTTTCACATTTTCTTTGTTTTCCACTAAATCCAAAGCTTCATGTGCCCACATACAGCTCCACCCGGTTGTCCGCCCCCCCCCTGCCTTGAGAGCTTTTTGGAATCTGACTTTGCTGCATGTTTGTCTGCAGACACAATAACATGTCTTGTGTGTCTTTTTCCTTTGTTGTAGTGCTGCCTGCAAGTATCTGTGGTCGTATGTCCTGTTAATGGTCGGATAATCAGATTTGTTGGCAGCTACAGCCATTTCTACTGTTTTGCTTTCTTATTATTTTCTCACATTTGTATCACTCATAACTCAGTCCTTTTTTACAAAAAGCTTCCCGTAATGATGAACTGAATGTGGGTCTATGATTTACATGCACCACATGGAAATATATGCTGGCTGCTCTGACTGTGCGTGTGTGTCGTCAGGCCCCAGCCATGCCCCATGCAGCAGCAGCAGCAGCAGCAGCCGCAGCAGCAGCAGCAGTCTGGTCAGATGCAGTCGTCTGTTCCCTCAGCATCCCTCAGCAGCTACAGTAGCCAAGCCTCTGCCTCCGGCTACACCCATGCTGCACCCTCCTCCCAGGGCAGCACGCTCCAGGGCCCCGGGCCAGGCTATGGCTCTTGCTCCTCTTCTTCCTCATCTTCCTCTTCTTCCTCTTCCCGCAGCAACCTCAACATGCAGTCTAACCAAGGTGAGCCAGGAATAGGGGAGCATTTCAGTCAGGAAGATGTCCACTTTTTGTAAAACTTTAGAACTGAGCACACCAGTGACGCAAGTTTTGTCACTCAGAGAGTGAAATGATGAGTGTAGAGGCTATAGTCCTCCAGGCGGGCAACCCAGGTTTGAATACCACCTGTGGCTCCTTTCCTGCCTGTCATTCGCTCTCTACCCAATTTCTGACCGTCGTATCTCTTTTTTTAAAAAAAGGGATAAAAACCCCAAAAATAAACGAGTACACACCCTTGTGAATTTAAGGGTGAGGTAGAATCCATAGTGTAAAAAGAATGTGTGAATGTGTTTATACCAAACACTCCCTCAATTTTGCTTAAAACATTTTCTAACACACATATTGGCCCTCATCACACCGTTGATTCCCCGTTGACCCTAACCCTAACCCTCTCATAAATCAAACACATTCAGTTCATCACAGAGTTATCCTGCCTCTCCACTCTTCGCCCTGGTTTAACCTCTCCTGATCTTTGACCCCTGGCCCTGAAATGCAGCCCTCCTCTCCTTGGATGTCCATGCATATTGACTGTACCTCTGTTTATGCACTAACTGCTTTCACTTGCTTTATTTGCATTTATACTTAAGAGTGAAAACTCTCTTCACAGAGATTTTTCTATGACCGACCCCTGACTGCTTTAAACCCATGATGGCTTTACCCTGTGCACAGATTGCTGCGGACATGTTTTATATTTGTTCATTTATCAGTTTAAGGAAGCACATTTACGCCATCTCAAATCTCAGAATCATGTGTTTTCTGTTTTGTGCATGCGTATAATAATGTATGAGCTCTCTCCCCAATAATCCGAACTCCTATCCAGTCACCATGATGCACCAACAGTCTGCCACTCCGCACTACTCCTCAGCCCAGGCAGGGGGGCAACACTATCAGGGACAGCAAGCCATGGGCATGATGGGTCAGGGCAGTCAAGGGAACAGTATGATGCCTCAGAGGCCCATGGGATCCTACCGCTCCTCACAACAAGGTAGGTGGGGAGACTTCTTCATGCTAGTTAGGTTTGGCAAAGGACTCAGTGATTTTGTTTGTGTTGTCAAGTGAGTGCTAAAGTACATACTATATTATGGATGCGTGAGTAGTGTTTGGAACATCTTAGACTGAAATTGTCAGCAGGTTTTCTGTTCATTTTGACTCACAGTTTCTAGAATGTTCAAATTTTGCTGAATGCATGGTGCTGTAGTTAAAGGAAGAGTGGTGTTAAAGGAAACTGGTCCAACCCGGCTGCCTCCTACAGTATGACTTTAAGAAGCAGTCTGGAGATGTATCTTTCTTGTCACATTTAGTTTCTGTCCTTGTAAATCACTTCTGCAGTGTCATTATGTGCCTAATAATAGCTCCCCGCTTGTCCTGCTATGCCTTTGAAGGGTGAAGGCAATGCATGTTGTAACTCAAATGTATTAAAAAAGAAGGGATACTGTTTCCAGGGCAACAGGCCATGGTTGTAAGTCCTCATTCGCCTTGCTGTACTATTATCCTTGCATGACTCGGGGGAAGTATATCCAGGTTGAAGCTCTGGGGAAATGCTCCTTGATTAGCTGTGGTGTATGGTATCGGTTGTATGAGAAGTTTTCAGATATGGGGCAAAGATAAGATATAACAGTTCATTAATGACTTTCTCTGTATTTGGAGACTCTTGGGTCACCTGTCGTTTTCAAAAGACGTGAGATGTTTTTTTTCATGGCTCTTTGATGAACATACCAGATAGATTTTTTTTCTGTTGGGTTTTGATCTGAGTTTTTTTTTTTTTAGATACAATTAGTTGGGGAAAAAGGAACGAGTGAAATCTGAAGTTTCTGCACACCATCATCAAGAAGAGATTGTTTTCTCTGTCATAACTGGCTTTTTGTTTTCTTGTCTTTTGTAATTGGTTCGAATTGCTATAATTTTAAATGCATAGAAAGTAGAGCTGTCAAACCATGACATTTGTAAATGTGATTAATTGCTTAATTTGAATAGTTAATCACTATTAATCGCATATTGAATCCGCTGTTTGAATTTCCTCTATATCAGATTTAGTCTTTTTTTTTTATTTATTTTTTTTTTTATACTGTCTTAAGGTGAGAGTACTTTACTTGCTGTTTGAATTCAACCTGCTTTTATTTTGAAATAAATTAAGGACATTCTGGTAGATCGAAGGTTTCGACTTTAACTTAACCACGGAAAAAAGGAAATGGTTAAGGATCAAAAATTAAATGGAAACACCTTGAAGGAACGGTAAAAGGGTGAAATGTTACTTACTTTTATATACTTCTAGGATTTTGAAAAAGTAAATAGAGCCATTAAAAGATCAAAGAGTGTTGTGCTTTTCCATCACCGTGAGGCTTATCCACGGTTTGCCAACAGGGACAAACAGAATGCAATTAAACGCATTAAAAAACCTTATTCATTCATTTTAGACCTTAATTAATTGCGATTAACTTGTAAATGCTGACAGCCAAGGTAGACAGTTACTACAGATGAATTTCTACCTCAGTGTCCTGGCACAGCCTTAACTGAGCGTCAAATTGGTCCAACCAAGTGTTTAACAATCCTGGTGTCGCCTGTCTTGCAGGATCTGCACAGCAGTTCATGGGACAAGACGAGTTCTACGGAGAGCAGTATGGACACACTCAGAGCTCCAGCGAGCCCATAAACCAGCAATATTACCCTGATGGTAATCATGCACATCCATAAACTACAAACACACAGCTCCCAAACACACAACCTCCCATTACAGACCATTACATTCCCTTTTAGCACTACCCCATAGGTCTGAGCCACATTTACCACAACACTGAGGCTTCAGCTCTTCCTCCCAGTCATCGTCTGTTGCCTTTATTGTGGGAGATGAAAAGTTTTGATAAAAGCACAAAAGACTGCTATTGGTCTTAATTCTGTTTCCTCCCAGTGTGTCTGTGTCCATACTGTCCCCTTTGGTGTGCCGAAATTTCAGATTTCAGAGCGTGCTATAACAGTATGTTAAGGAGAGAGTGCAAACTTCCTCCAGGGTGTTTCTTGTGCTTTGTGCATAATGTAGAAGTTAGAAGCCTTTGAAAGTGTCGCCTGTTAATTCTGTCCTTGCATATGCATTATGTCTCTTTTGGTTTCACACTATTTATGATAGTTTCTATTCTGCATGAAATCTAGAGGCTTTATTTCCTGTGCAGAGGATTTTTTTTGTACGTCTTGAATCGTGTTCTCCACAGGTCATGGAGAGTACTCGTATCAACAGTCTTCGTATGGTGAGCAAGGCTATGACAGGTCCTTTGATGACTCATCACAGCATTACTATGAAGGAGGTAACAGTTTTTTAAGATTGTAATTGTCACTCAAATATCGTGCATTTGTTCTCTTTCTCTGCCCACGGTGTTTGGCTAAATGTATCCGACCCTACCTACATTAGAGTGTAGTACCACCTCATACTGTATGTTTCATACTGTGGATGATGCATACCTGCTGTGCATATGCCTCCAGGTAACTCTCAGTACAGTCAGCAGCAAGCTCAGTATCAGCAGGGCTCTGGCCAGCAGCAGCCCTTCAGCCAGCAGCAGTACTCGTCTCAACAAGGCTACAGCGGGCAGCCACAGGGATACGGTCAGAACAACCCCTTCAGCCTTTTGTGTTCATAGACATTAACACAACAAGAAAAAAACCCAACAATTGAGTCTGTTCCCTCTGCTACAGGTTCTGGACAAGGTGGAGCCTCACAGTATTCTCAGTATCAACAGAGTCCAAGCCAACAATACGGATCATACCGCTCCTCCCAGGGAGCTCCTGGAGCACAGACGCAGAGGCCCTATGCCTACGAGCAGGTACATCAAATAAGATCATACAGCCAAGGTTTCTATGATTTGTTTTTTGAAGGTTTTCTAAGACTTTTTTTCCTGTGCTTTACATTTTTAATGCTGATGATGCACAATGTATGCTAGAGCACACACACATACAATGTATGTAGTAGCTAGAAGCAAATATTAATAGGGACTTATTACTGTAAGTACCCCTTATCTTTAAAACCTTTTATTTGTATTAAACCCGAATCTCAAATATTGATTGTGGATCATACTCTTTCAAACCCGACTGTTACTTGATTCAGTATAAACCAACATTAAAGCTAATGTGCATGTGGGAATCATGGGAAAAAAAGGACACCATGTTTAATCTGTTGTCTTTCTGTAAACATTTTTTACATTGCAGGGTCAGTATGGAAACTATCAGCAATAAGATACCACAATGTTTTCCATTTGGAAGAAGCGAAAAAGGCAACGATTCAACAGTGACTGACTCAGCTGTTGGGTAGAAGATCTGGCTGCATCATATTTATTATCCTGTCATTAATATTTATTCTAGCTAAGAATAGATCATCTACTCATATGTGATGCTCTCTTGATTTTTTTTTGCTTAACACAGGGTTGTAAAGGGTAGCTGAAGGTGTGAAGCACTACTCTTGGTTCTGACAAATATTCAGGCTGCTTGTAGAGTTAAGAAAGTTCATGTGAAACCTCCATAAGAAACAAGGGGGGCAAAAAGTGAAACCTCAGCAAATTGAACCTCCGTATCCTTCTTTTGTTTATGCCTTTGCCTTTCATTTACCTATATCCTGCCTCCTGCATTTAATGTTTATTTTTAATTTACAAGCCTCTGTGCTGGTGCACAAAACAGGTCAGTGGATCGTAAAAGCAAATAGGAAGGCAGGAAATATCCCTTTAAGTTGATCTAATTGACTAGTGAAGCTCAAGCTGAGACACTGTTATAGTCCATGGTAAGAGAAATTGATTTAATAAAGGTGAAATCATTGGTTTTAAACCTGACTTAATCAGGGAGTTTGTCTGTGTTAGTCAAAAAGTGATGTGTTGCTGTGTCTTCTAACATTTTGTGCATTCACTCTCATGTCTTACAGTGTTCATAGACACATCCAGAATTATTCATATGTATTATTATCCATGATAACCATACACCAAGGTGGTATGTTTTACATTATGTGTTCATTGGAAATTGCTTTGCAAAGACGTATTGTTATTGTGCAGAGATCGAGAGTTTATGTAAATCTCATTGCCATTCACTTATGACTTTACACACATAACATCATGCCACTTTATCAGCACTTTATTTTGCAGTGACAGTGTATGTATCGTCTGATATTTTGAATTGTAGTGTAATTCAGGCTGTCTCTAACAAATGATCCTCAAGAAGCCAAAGTATGACAGGGACAGAGCAGTATCGGGTCCTGCACCTCAACTTCCGTTTTGTGCAATACACTCAGTCAGTCATGTTGGACTTTGATCTTATTATGAAAGCACAACGTTTATCATTATTTGCATTTTCTTGACAGAAAGGCCAGATATATGCTAGGGCTGGTTTATTTACGTTGTCCAAGAGGTCGAAGTTTTCAACCAATACATCAAGTTTGAGGAAAATATTTTCTATATAAGTGTGAATTATGGATTGATTGTGTGACGCTTACTTGTGTGTTTATTTCCAGTAAACATTTTAAACATCTTCTGTATTAGATGAAAAAATATTGTTAGAAAACATAACTTTTTAAAAGTTTAGAAAAGGTATTGAAGGTTAATGTTTTAGATAAATGTACATGTACAAGCAAACCTGCCTTATTTAACACACATACATTACATTTCACATTTATCTATCTCTCTGACTATCTATCCTCATCTGTCGGTCTGTCTTTTTTTTCTGAGGAATCTTTCATTAATTTATTTAGATAAGAGAAATCAAGGCTAAAGCATCCCTGGACCTTCATGTAACACTGTTAGTTACAGTTTAATAAGCGTATAAAGTATTCTGTGAGTCCAGTTTTTCCATATATTCCATTTATCTTATCTTAAATGGGTAAAGTAGCACAATGGTTGCAGTCATTTTGCAGGGTTAATCAAGTATAGACGTCTAGTGGCTGTCAAACAGCTAAACAACTGTACCACTCAACAGTGACAATCACATGCTTTTTTATACTGCATTAATTTTGTATCTGAGTTGCATTCTACTGTGAATCTAACATGTATGACACGTTTTCACCTCTTCTATGGTCTAAAGTATGTCGTCACTGATGTGGGTGGTACGCCTTGTTCATGTTTTTATGTGTGTGTTTGTGTGTGTGTGTTAGTGTTTGTGTGTATGTGAGAGGAAGAAAGATGGACAGAGAGAGAAAGACAGTATCTGAGTGGGAGGTTTGTTGCCCATAATCAAAACATGAATGTTACATATCTAGACTGCATTGCCTGATCTTTTCTGATGTCTTTTGTTACTGATTGTGATATAAAAAAATAAAATGATATTCACCTTTAAAAGTCTGCATTTTATTTATGTAGAAGGGAAGATTATCATCACTAGTTTAACTTTTATGTTTTATTTTTTTTTAAATGGATACTTACACGAGTCCTTTCACATCTCATATTTCTAAATTGGATTATATCAACAGAGAGGTACGGAATTATTAATCAAAATGTAAAATAATAATTTTATTTAACACTGTCTGTCGCTATATATGGAGACAACTTAAGTTATTCATTGAAATTGTGTTAAAAATGAGTGGTCAAGTCTTATTGCGTCCCAAAAAAACCAATCATTTATTGGGAGATTTATTTACCTTTTACATTCCGACACATTAGGTGGCGGTAGAGGACCAAGTGGAGGCAGCAAAAATGATCCCGTAACGAAAACTCGCACACAGATTGTTCCTTCCCGGGTTCCGTTGTTTGGTCCATGCTGTCTACAGACTGTAATATTTACAGACTTATATTTTTGCAGGTATGCGTACAGTAGGTAGTAACTTGATAGTTTTAAACGGTACTTTAGAAGAATGGTTTTCTATCGTGAATATAACTTTTAACTTGGACGACTAATTTTTGAGTTATTTTGCCGATAGACTTAAAAGTGTCTTGAAGAAAACTGTTGAGGTGACATTGTCGAACCGTCGTGAGGTAAATGACTTCAAGTCAAAACTAACGTGAGTCTGTTAACTCTACAATGTTGGCGTCAATGAGGACAGCGGGACGTCTCTGTGGGCTTTCTCCGGACACACGTGTAGTAAACATATTGTTAGGCCAGGTGGTTAAAGCAAACCACTTAGGTTGTTCTCCAGCACTGACAGCGTGGAGGTGGAGGTGGAGACTCACCGGTGGTACCAGAGGTGTCAGCACCTCTTGTACACTTTGTGCCAAAGTCCGAGGGAACCCGAAGAAGACGGAGATCTCTGAGAAGAAGCTGGTGTGTGTTACAAGTGACTTTTGTCATCAGTTTCACCTATTATGTATGAAAACGTCAACTTTGATTTGAGGATGGTGTTAGTCCACTCCTTTTATGTTGAGTCTTCTTTGTAATATTGGAAATTAAACTCAGGACAAATATGTGTCCAGTTGCCTTCAAAATCACTTCATTTTTTTATAAATGATCATGTCTTCCACAAAGTATTATTAAAATAACTATTTCGCATCATGTCACATTTTCAGCATGTCAGACAAAAACAGTCACTTAAAAGGATTTTATTTAAGCCGGAGTGTCAATTCCCTGAATTAAGATCATTGCAAGCAGAAGTGACCCACCATCAAGCTGTCCCTCCTGGGTGTTAAATCAACAAGCCGCCCGTTAGTCCCCAAAACATCATTAAATGTCTTCTCCCCAGTTTACTACATGGAAAAAAAAAGTAAAACAATTTAAGGCCAACACCTGCAGTTGCAATGTTTTTGTTTGAATTATATAATATGGTCCAAAAAAATCTTGTCAAAGCCTAGTCTTAATATCGCTATCATGTATTACTTGATAACATCCATGCCCTACTGTAGTCTATCCCTTTTTTAAACCATAAAAAAACTCCCAAATTGTGTGTTCAATCCATCTCTGTGTTGTCTTGTATAACTTGCAAAACCATCAGTGTTTCTTGAAGCTGTCTTATGGGTGTTTTCTTGTTTCGGCCCGCAGACCCGTCACTTTAAAGACCACCGTTGTGTGAAGCTGGTGGCTGGCTCGGGTGGTAGAGGAGCGTGCAGCTTTCACAGCGAGCCCCGAAAGGAGTGGGGCGGACCAGACGGGGGTAATGGAGGAGATGGAGGAAGCATCATTATAAAAGGTCAGATCAGCGCAAGGAATATTGTTCCAATTCTTGCGTGTTTGCCACGCAATACGTTGCAATTTTTCTCATCCCGTCTTTGGCACCATTTATCAAAACTGTTTTTCTTATTTGTGTGCGTTCAGCTGACCGCGTTGTCAAATCCTTGGCGAGAGTTGTCCCGGTTTACAGAGCAGAGCACGGGCAGTCAGGAGGCAGCAAGAACTGTTATGGCAAGAATGGGAGTCCAACCTATATTTATGTGAGTCCATTCCTTTGATCATACATGACAGGAAGCTTATGAACACTTTTGTAAAATGTCTATCATTAACACTGTTGCATGGCCTAACTTGGATGTTTTCCCACTATGAAGGTACCATTAGGCACAGTGGTGAAAGAAGAGGGAACGACAGTTGTGGACCTTTCTGAGAATGGCCAGGAGTATCTGGCTGTATTTGGAGGGTCCGGGGGGAAAGGTAATCGTTTCTTTTTGTCAAATGAAAACCGGGCACCCATGACAGCAACCCCAGGACTGGAGGGGCAGGAGCGGGTCCTTCATTTGGAGCTCCGTACTATGGCCCATGCTGGACTGGTGAGAAAAGGCTGTTTAAAGTCAAAAATAGTATGTTGCCACTTGCCAACCGACCCCACAAATGGACATTTTGTTTTCTAACCTTAATTCATCAGGTTGGGTTTCCTAATGCTGGGAAATCCTCATTGTTGAGAGCCATCTCCAATGCCAGGCCTGCTGTTGCTGCTTACCCTTTTACAACACTCAACCCACATGTAGGGATTGTCACATACAGGGATCATGAGCAAGTTGCAGGTAGAATATTAAAAAAAAATAACTAATACATATTGTAAATATTATTTCATCTGCATTGTTAGGTTGCATTACTCTAAATATTTCCCAAGTTTAACATATTTGCTTCACTTTTACCTTTCTATATGTAGTTGCTGACATCCCAGGCATCATCAGGGGAGCCCATTTAAATCGAGGCCTTGGAATCTCTTTCCTGCGTCATATAGAGCGCTGTCGTTGTCTCCTCTTTGTTCTGGACATGTCGTCTCCTGAGCCCTGGACCCAGCTCCAGCACCTGCGTTTCGAACTCGACCAGTATGAAGCTGGTCTCTCCCAGCGGCCTCAGGCCATCGTAGCAAACAAAATGGACCTGCCTGAGGCCCAGGAGAAGCTGAAGACTCTAAGGGACCTTGTTAGCCAGCGGGTCATCCCTGTGTCAGCGCTAACAGGACAGAACACAGAGGAGCTCATCCTCCACCTCAGGGAGCTGTATGACGGCTACCTCAGAGAGGAAGACAGTGGTGAAGGCAAACCCACCAGATGATGGAGAAAGCTTTTTCCTCTTGCTCTCATTGACTTTTACATACAATAATATATACATTTATACTGGACAATAGAAAATGTATTTAAAGTTTGTATTGAATAAAAAAAGGAAACTTGAATGTCTGTCTGCTCTTATGAATGCTGGGCAGAATATTGTTCAAAAAATACATTTTGACATATAGCATGCTAAGACAAAGAAAGATTCCCCTTAAAAGTGTTTGGAGTATTAAAGACCTGTTTACGCGCCACATGTAAAGAGAAATTAAGTCCACTGAAGGAAGGATATTTGTGCAAAAAGATACACAGAAGGGGTGCTGGTGGTGCAGTGGTTAGCAGGCTGTAGTTCTACAAGCAGGTTCCTTTCCTGCATGTCATTGCCCACTCTCGCCCTGATTTCCAACTCTATCCACTGTCCTCTTTTTCTATTAAAAAGGCACAAAATGCCCAAAAATAAATCTTAAAAAAGGAAGTTTGTGAAATAAGTTGAAGATTCACTCGGTAATGAAGCTAACACAATTGCTAAATGAACCAGCAGAGGGCACCTGTAACATCTTTTAAAAGTTGATAACAGACATGTTTTTGAATAAACTGTTGAAAGATCAGAAAGAGTTATGCAATTGTTGAATTTGTTTTTGTTTTTTTCCTTTTATTATCATTTAATTCTTTCATCATTTAATACATAGGTCATAAAGTCAAAACCTTTTTCTGCTTTCAACATTTCCTGTTAAACTTACACACACTCGTAGTGCCTACGCTCCTGTGAAGGTCAAGATAAGTGTGACATACACTGAAGCAAAACCACATAGGAGTGTGACATACACTGAAGCAAAACCACATAGGAGTGTGACATACACTGAAGCAAAACCACAGGAGTGTGACATACACTGAAGCAAAACCACAGGAACTTGACATACACTGAAGCAAAACCACAGGAACTTGACATACACTGAAGCAAAACCACAGGAGTGTGACATACACTGAAGCAAAACCACATAGTAGCTCGTAGGCATATAGCGCTTCTGAGTATCTGCTCGGTTCACGGTCTTCGAGCTGAAACCACATATGAACTTGGTATTACCTATGTCCTCAACTTGGCATGACCTGTGGATGCATCACGTTTCTGCAAACGTGCATTGTTGAGGTGTTACAGGATCTTGGAAAAAAAAAGAGAGACTTTTTTGGGATAAAAACCCTGTAGAAAATCTGATCGAGGTTCCTTTTTGCTTTGCAAAATGAATCCACGCCACTCCGACTTTTGAAATCCCATTTTGGGACTTAGTCTCTGAGACAAAGATCTTTTAAAACCTCAAATGTCTACACTCACAGGTTTAGACTTTGGTCTTTGAGTTTTGTTTTCCTTTTCCATTTTTTTATATTTTTACTTTTACTCTTTTGTATTTGCATTCATATTATCATTTGAAGTTTTTTAAATACATTTTCGGAAACTTTTTGAAATAATTTTCTGACTGAAATCATTTACACCACAGAAGACCGGAGTCTCCCTTAAGGACCACGTGTACCTCGGAAGGTAAGTTTTGAGCAGTCACACCACGGCACACTTGTCTTACTGATTTACGTTACACACTTCACACACACCTAACATCCTAGTGAGGGGAGTTCAGTTATTCCCTCTCCGGGGGGTAATCTAGAGTCCTATACCAGGGGTTATCTCTGATCTAATCATTCTAGAAATGAATGTTAGGCAGATAATCCTGGGGCTGTGATTATAACTTGTTCATCTGTACCTCCAAAGGGTGTTAGAGGAGTAATTTTATGTAGCTCCTTCCACTAGGAAAGAGTAGACTAGCAGGTTGGTAGGGAGTGAGCTCTCATTTAGTTCTAGGAAAGAGTAGTCTAG